TTTTCTGTTTTCATTTTTAACATTTTCTGGTCAATACTAGCTTTGACTTCTCATGAATTAAAAGATCCAAACAGTTGCCATGAGGGTGCCTGAGCCAAATCTGGACAGGGAGAGAGGCACTGAGATGGCAAAGGAGCAGTTAGAGTGGGGCTGCCTGTGTTGCCTGTTTGCACTTACCAGCTTCTTCACTGTGCAGTGGCAGTGTGTGGGTGTGTTCACATACACACAGGTAAAATTTAGCTATCTTTATCCTCCTACACTCTTCTTAAACGTAGTCAGCTCTGATCATATTTTAAGACAGTCACGGGATGATTTCTTTCCCTTTGTTCTTGTGCCTCTCCATTTCTCTGCCTTTGTTGGTTGAGATTGGACCTGATATTCTTGGTGAGCAGAGGGAAGCCTCTTGGACTGTACGCATCCTTATACACGCCTTAAGGTTCCCCTTGCTTGTGCCCCCTCCCAGAGCACTGCTGAGTTGCCAGTAGCTAGATGGCCTGTCGTGGCTCTGCTGACTGGTACAGTCATCCCGCTAGGTGGATACTTGTGCTTTCTTGAGAGTATCTTTAGTGCATCTAAAATAACAGTGAGAATTACTATTGTTTTTGTCATCAATGATCATGATACCACGGCTATTTGTATCTCTCTGTCTGAATAAACAAAAACCAGACTAGGGAAAGACTGTAGGATGAGGAAGGAGAATTCATTTCCAGCTCTGCCACTGATTAGCTGTTGCATTGAGCAAGTCAGCAATATCATAGGAATTTGAATTTGAACATATGAATGTTATTCTCATAGGTAAAGCAAGTCGTTTGGACCATATTCCTTGCTAGACATTCCTTGATAAATGTCAAACCAAGGGGCACCTGGGTGGCCCAGTCGTTTACGTGTCTGACTCTTGGTTTCTACTCAGGTCATGATCTCACGGTTGGTGTGTTTGAGCCCTGCATCAGGCTCTGCATTGACAGCATGGACCCTGCCTGGACTCTCTCTCCCTCTCTCTTTGCCCCTGCCCTGATGTGCTCTCTCTCTCTCTCTCTCAAAATAAATAAACTTCAAAAAAAAAAAAAATCAAACCAAGTGTGATGAGCATGCTGAAGTTCTCTTCCTTAGACTCATTCCCAGTGCCAGAGGGGACTAGTCTGCTTCATGTGCACCCTTAACCTCTTAGAAGTAGGAAAAGGTTACAAAACAAACATGTTTTTCTAACTTTTAGTGCATGAACTCATTACAATGTGGTGTCATTAGGGAGAAACTCAAAATACAAACTGACAAAAATGGAAATTCACCAGGAATTAACATAAAGTTCCATAGTCTGATTCAAAGAACAAATTGCACAAATAGGTGTTTGGCTGAAATTCACATATTCATTTGGGTATTTGCATTACCCTCAAGTCTGATGTGAGCCAAAAGCACGATGTACACCCTGTGCTGTATAGCATAACCATGAGTCCCAACTGGCAAAGGTAGACTGGAAGTAACTGCTGAGGCAGTGGCCAGGGCAGATAGTATTGAGTCAGCAGTCTTAAAAGACCTCAATCAGAGTAAGGTAAGAGAGGGCAAAGTCAAGAGAGCTCAAGGTTGTGGCAAGAAATCAGCAGGAAAACAAAACGAAGGGATCAGTAATGTGAAAGCTGAGAGATCAGCACAAAAGGAATGGGGTGGGGAGGATAGGGTGACGGGAATGAGGGTCAATTCCGCAAACAGCTATTGCTGTAACAGAGGGCTTCAGCTTTTCTTTTTATTTCTTTTTCCCCCCCAACCTTATAGTCCCAGGCAGCTTCCTAGCTCCCAAATTTCTCCATTCCCTAGAATTTAAGTCCACCTCTAAGCTAACCTCATCCAACCCAACCTCATCTCTCTGATTTATTTAAAGGAAAAATCATCTGCATCATTTTATGAACTTTCAGAACCCATATATGAAGGAAAGGCATTACCTTAACTGCTCCCCAACATTAGCTGGCTATTCCATTATTTCTGAGTTACCAAACTTCTCACACATGCCCTGGTGGTTTCTGCTTGCCTCTGCTAATTCCCTTAGCCAACCTGACTTCCTTTCTTCTATGGATCTCAAATCATCCTCTTTTCAAAGATTCATCTCAAGTCCTACCTCTTTTTTATTTTTTTTTAACATTTATTTATTTTTTAGAGAGAGAGCATGAGCACACAAACAAGGGAAAGGCAGAGAGAGAGAGACAGGAATCGAAGAGGGCTCTTTGCTGAGAGCAGAAAGCCCGATGTGGGGCTCAAACTTGCAAACCATGAGATCATGACCTGAGCCAAAGTTGGACACCCAACTTTGACTTCCTGGAATGTCAGGTTTCACTTTTACTTGGTTTACCCTCCAACCCAAACAGCATTTCCTCTATGACATCTCTAGACATATTTGATGTTTATTTTCCTGAGCCCTCATAGCACCTTGTTCATGTCTGTGTACTACGTATCTAACCATATGGCTTTTCTCGTCATTTGGTCTTTCCCTCTAGATTTTAAGTTCCTATAGAGTAGAAACATATGTACCATTCATTAATGCCTAACACACTGTATAGCATGTGATAGGAGCTCAATACATGTTTAAATGAATGAATGAGACTTCAAAGGATATGGTATTTTCATTGGTTCATTCACACAAGCTCCTCATAGGCAATGAAAACAAGGCTTAAAATTTGGGTCTCAGAGGGGTGCCTGGGTGGCTAAGTCGGTTAAGTGTCCGACTCTTGATTTCAGCCTCGGTCATGATCTCAGAGTTTGTGGAATCAAGCCCTGCATCAGGCTCTGCGCTGACAGTTGGGAGCCTGCTTGAGATTCTCTTTCTCCCTCTCTCTTTGCCCCTCCCCCCTAATGAATAAATAAAAAACTTTAAAAATTTTGGGTCTCCGTAATGCAGATGAGAAATTAATAAAATAGGGATAATTTCTTTTTATCCACAAACCTTAATATAGTATACTATTGAGTCCCCATCACCTTCAGCATAAAATCCAAGTCTTTTAGCCTAGCATACAAAGCTCCTTATAACATAGACCCTGACTTTCTCTCCATTCTTATCTTTCTATGTATACATATAACCTGCATTCCATCCACTTTGATTTCTCATATACTCCATAGTCTTTCTTGCCTCCATGCCTTCGTTCATACTTTCCCCACACCTGTGGCACCCTCTCCGTCTTCTCTCACTCACCCCTCTCCTGCATGCCTGATGAGGTTCTATACTTCCAACACTGATCAATAGTTACCACCTTTGGGTAGCTAGCTCTGAAAGTATCCCTCCCTATTCTGTGCCCCTAGAGCACGTGGTTGATTCATTATAAGCACTATGCTGTCAGTCATTGTTGGTCTGTTTCTTGCTTCCTCTGTAAAGTGAGATTATCTTCATACCCTGACTTCTAATGTATTCTAGATGTTTAATACAGAGTGAAGGAATAAAGGAATAACTATTATATAGGGATTTGTAAAGAAAGTAAATTTCTGATAATAGACATACATTGAATAAATTTAAGATTGAATTTGCATGATCTGGACAATCTGGAACAATCCCATGTCTTTCTTTTCAGAGGTTGGGTTTCCCTGAAAAATTGGTGCTAATGGACATATCAGAAGCAATTAATAAGTTTAAAACACTGGGGCTTAGTCTGTGCCCCAGAATTGGTTTAGTACAGTAAAAACAAATTTTATATCTTAGGAATTTATCTTGTCACATACAGAAGACATTTATCTAAATGACTTAATGAATACTTTAGAAAGTAAAACAATGCCCCAATAGATAAAACACTAAAGAAATTAGGAAAAAAATGAGCAGGATATATTTTTTAATAAAAGTGTGTATATCAAGATATTTAATTTCTGTTTGGGAAGGGAAATGTTTTTTTTTCTGATTATAAACCTAATATATATGTCTTAGTCTGTTTAGGCTGCTATAACAAAAATACCATAGACCAGGTGGTTCAAAGAACAAATATGTATTTCTCACAGTTCTAGAGGCTAGGAAATCCAAGATCAAGCCACTGGCATGTTCTATATGTCTGGTAAGGGCCTCCTTCCTGGTTCAGAGACAGCTGTTTTCTCACTGTGTCCTCACATGGCAGAAGAGGAAATACTGGGAGCTCTCCAGTATTTTTTTTTTTTTTTTTTGAGCAAGAGAGAATGAGGAGAGAGAGAGAGAATTTTAAGCAGGCTCAATCCCACAACCCTAGGATCATGACCTGAGCTGAAATCAAGAGTCAGACAGTCAACCAACTGAGCCACCCAGATGCCTCACTCTGGGATCTCTGTTATAAGGGCACTAATCCTCTGAGGGCTCCACCTTTCTGACCTAATAATTACATCCCAAAGACCTCACTTCCAAATACTATCACATTGGGGATTGGGTTTCAACATACGGATTTTGGAGGAGGGGGACACAAACATTCACTTTATAGCAACACGTTAATGCAGAATGCTTAGAATATTTTGAGAAACACAACGACATAAGCCTCTCCCAAATCTAACCACCTAGAATTAACAAAAGTTAGTAGTTAACAATAGTTAATTCTTGGAGTGTATTCTTCCAGTCTTTTTTCTTACACACATACAAATATGTGTTTATGTGTCTTTTCAAATAAAAGTTGGGGGATGGTTTAAACAGATGATGGGGATTGAGTGCACTTGTGATGAGCACCAGGTGATGTATGGAAGTGTTGAATCACCATATTATATCACCTGAAACTACTATTATGCTGTATGTTAACTAACTGGAATTTAAATACGAATTTTTAAAAAATGTAAGGGTTTATGTTGTACATATTGTTCTCACCTGTTTTTTATATTAACATGTCTTGAACGTTTTCTCAGGTTAGTAAATACTCTTCTACAGCATGATTTTTAATTGCTGCACAGTATTCCATCATGTGGATGTATTTATTTAACCAATCCCCATTGTTTCAATATTCTTGTTATTAAAAACAGAAGTGTAGTAGTGTGGGTGACGAAAGGAAGGGTGAACTCATGTCCTCCTCCTGTTTTCCCAGGTTTTGGAGCCCTCTCTTGCATCAGAACTCTGTCCTCCTAATCCTCTGAGTGTCATCTCAGGATCCTGGGCACACTCATGGCACGATGGCCAACCCTCAGGAGCACCTGAGCTGCTCCTCTTCCCCACACTTACCCTTGAGTGAAAACAGAACCTTCAATGGACTACAAGATGAGCTCACACCTACGGGGAGCCACCCTTCACCCAAGCTACTTAAGGACCCGCAGGAAAAGGGGGGAGTACACGCAGAGCTAACTGAGAACATGAACAGCCCCATCACCACAACAGTGTTGACGAGTGTGAGCGAAGATTCCAGGGACCAGTTTGAGAACAGCGTTCTTCAGCTAAGGGAACAAGATGAATCGGAAATGGCCGTGTCTCAGGGGAACAGCAACACCACGGACAGAGAGAGCACAAGTGGAACGGAAGACATCAAGATTCAGTTCAGCAGGTCAGGTAGCGGCAGTGGTGGGTTTCTGGAAGGACTATTTGGATGCTTGAGGCCTGTATGGAATATCATTGGCAAGGCATATTCCACTGATTACAAATTGCAGCAGCAAGGTAAGTTAGAGTGTGGATTTGGGAAACATTTCCTGTATAAACATACCACCACCATTCACTGGACAACCTTTGATTTAAAAAACTGGTGCCAATCAAAAAGAATGAAATCTTGCCATTTGCAACTATGTAGATGGAATTACAGGGTATTATGCTAAGCAAAATTAGTCAGTCAGAGAAAGACAAATATCATACGACTTCACTCATATGAGGACTTTAAGATACAAAACAGATGAACATAAGGGAAGGGAAGCAAAAATAATATAAAAACAGAGAGGAAGACAAAACATAAGAGACTCTTAAATATAGAGAACAAACAGAGGGTTACTGGAGGGGTTGTGGGAAGGGGGATGGGCCAAATGGGTAAGGGACATTAAGGAATCTACTCCTGAAACCATTGTTTCACTATTTGCTAGCTAACTTTGATATAAATTAAAAAAATAAATTAAAAAGAAAACTAGTATCAGATGAATACCCCATACCAATCTCCTATAAACCTCTGACTGGAACAGATTCACATTTGGTGGTCTTTTTTTCGAAGCCCATCTTTTGCAGCTGTCCAGTCAAGTGGTGTCAAGTAAGGTACATAAAGACAATCCACAGCGTTATGAGGAAGAAGATGTTAGAGCTCCTGTTCCTCCTATCATCATTTTAAATTTCTATTTTCATGCGTGTTTTCATATATATTTGGTATTTGAATAAAGCTGTACAGATACATAATTTATAAATAAATCACATAGTGAATGCATGTTTAAAAACTTTTTCTTGAGGGGTTACCTGGGTGGTTCAGTCGGATAAGCGTCCCACTCGTGATCTCAACTCAGGTCTTGATCTCAGGGTCGTGAGTTCTAGCACCATGTTGGGTTCCACGCTGGGCGTGAAGCCTATGGAAAATTTTTTATTGAAAATTTATTCAGTCAAAAAGTCTGATGGCCACTGGGTTGATTCTAAGCCAGACAGAAGCCACATGGTTCTGTGCCTGAAAATTGCTGCCCTATCGTAGGTTGTAGTAAAAAGGAATCATTTTCTTTTTTTTTTCATTATTTTTTTAAAATGTTTATTTTTGATAGAACACAAGGTGGGGAGGAGAAGAGACAGACGGAGACACAGAATCTGAAGCAGGTTCCAGGCTCTGAGCTGTCAACACAGAGCCTGACGCAGGGCTCGAACCCACAGAACAGACTAGGAGATCATGACTTGAGCTGAAGTCAGTCGCCCAACTGACTGAGCCACCTCCCCAAAAGGAATCATTTTCTTACAGCCAGGTCACAGAAAGCTCACATTGTGAGGAAAGAACAAGTATCTAACCAATCTTGAGAAGCATTATTATGTCTAGATCTCACAGCTTTTGGAAAAGCAAATTAACTCTCATCATTGTGTAATTTACATATTCATAGATACCGATTCAAGCATTATGCATCTGAAGAGAACACATGGCCCTAGTGTTCTTTATAACTCCATTTATATTCCTTAAAAGAATTTTTTTCTTCCTGGTATCAAAAGTAATATATGTAGAAAGATTGGTAACTTAACAGGTAAGTTTCCCCCAAAAAGTAAAACTATTTTTCTGTGATCCCTAGTTTCCACTATTAATGTTTTTGGTATATATATTAGTCTTATTGTGTGTGTGTTTGTGTGCTTTAATAGATACAGAGTTAAACCAGTTACGCTTTTTCACTTCACATTGTGAACATTTCCCATATCATGAAACATACTTCCTCAGCATTTTTAATGCTTGCATTATATTAAATTGCGTGAATGTGCTAAGATTTATTTAAGCAATCCTCAATCGCTTGGCAGTTTGCTGTTTTTAGTGATCATAAGCTACACTGCAATGAACATCCGTTTATTATTTAATTTTCACACATATCTTTGATTATGTCTGTGATTATTTTTAACATGTCTTTGGTTTCCTTAGGATAAGTTCTTAGAAGAGGGAGTGGTTGGGTTAAGAGGGTTTGTGGCTTTTTAAGGCTTTTGATAGGTATCTTGGTAGCCTCATGTAAATGATTTGGTTAACAGTTCTCTCATCAAGACATTTTGGAAAGGACCGGAAATATAGATCAGAAATGAGACTGCTTTATTTATTTTATAACTGCATGTTGGACTCTGTGACTCTCTTAAAAACATGTTTATCTCTTTCAGTCGAGACTGTTGCTGGCTTTTCCACAACAGCCAGTTGACATCAGTCACTTTTCTCACTTTTTTCTTTTCTCATTTTCTCATATTTCTGAAATACCTTCTCTTAACCAATACCAGCCTCTCCTTCTATATCCCTTTCCCATAAGTGTATCGGGATTTGTTGGCAAATCTATCGATCCCAGGTGTGCTTTCCGGGATTTGTCAATCACAATATCCATTCCTGCTCCATGCAGTAATTCTTTGTCAGTCCCCAGGATGTGTCTGTCTGCCTCTCTCTCTCTGTCTTTCATACATCCTCCCATCCCATTCATCCTGCACATTCCACCTTTCTTTCCCCCGCTATGGTCTTAAGCCTTCAAGGAAGTTAAAAAGCTGTCCCTTGTCACACAAACTTTAGGGGTTTCTATGTTAAACAGTATTATTATTTTAAAACTTGGGAATAAAGATAAACACAAAGAAGAAAATAAAAATCACTTGTCATCCCACAACCCAGAGATAACCGCCCTCAATTTATTACTTCTTTAAAAGTTCCTTCTTCTCTACTTAGACATAAAACCTACTAATATCTGCTTATGTGATGAACTGCATTTGGTTTTTAGGGTCTTAACTTGTCCAGTCTAATAATTATTTTGGTGGTAATTTGGAGGTCTCAGGACCCAAATGTAGGTTCAGGCTCATAAAGAGGAGCAACGGATACATCTTATGTGTCTGTCAACAGGAGCTTTACAAACTTTTGAATTATCCTGTAAACTTGTATTTAATTGTCTTCCAATTGATTATGTGACTTTCAGAAAGGCTTATTTCAAGAGTGAATAAGAAACCGGCCTGGTCAGCTTAAGCTTACAAGGCAGCTTATAGCTGCCTAACTCCTCAGCAGATGACAGGATACCCCACTGCAGGCTGGTGTTACTGGGGGCCGTGAAAGAGATTCACTAGCCAGAAACTAGGTGTAGTTTTTTTCCTTGTCAGCTCTGGGATCAGGGAGCTAATCTTTAATCCTGGATTACAGTCAACCAGAGGATAGCCCACAGAACAGATGTGTCTCTGCATTTGGTATACTTACAAGGAAATTTCACTTGATTTTTCAAAAATTTTAATGACATCTTCATCTCCCATTTAGTATTTGGTAGTGAAGTCCAAGTAAGGTAGCGTGTGTAATTGAAATCTTTTACTGCCAAATAGTTCCCAGTCTTATAGCAAGTATTGTCATAGTCAAGTCTGAATACAAACTAAGGAGAACTTATGCCTTAAAGGGGGGGGGAGCATGTGGTTACGGATCACAGTGGATATTGGAATTAAAATAGTAGTCATAGTGATGAATCATAAGATAAAAGCTGGGGAAGAGTACCAATGAACAGATATAAAAGCAGTAGAAAGTCTGGGACTAATCCTGAACTGAACACAGCCAGGTCGGTTGCTCATCAACTGTCGGGAGCCTCCGATTTTGCACATCCTCATTATTAGCATTCTTTTTTCGATCATTTTCCTATTCATTGGCTCCCAGCTAGATATTGACAGGGACATTGGGATGGGACAAGAGGACTAAACTACATCAATCACTTTTACTTCTGATACTTATGTCCAGTAAAAAGACTGATGGGAAGGTGGTTGAAGTATATGAAGGTTCCTGAATTTCCAGTGTGGTCCCCTCTATTTTTCCATGGATAATGGAGAATTGGCTAAACATAGCTGAATAACACAGGCATGAGCTACTGTTAGCAGAGGAAAATTTTATCCTTTAGCATTGAATCATCAACCTTTTTGGTATTTGAGTGTCAAATGTATTTATCATTTGTATTTTAATTTATTTCTCATTTTATAAAAATAATAAATAATAGGAATTATTTCTTTAAAAATATACTAGGGGTGCCTGGGTGACTCAGTCGGTGAAGCGTCCACCTTCAGCTCAGGTCATGATTTTGCAGTTTGTGGGTTCAAGCCCTGCATCAGGCTCTGTGTTGACAGCTCGGAGCCTGGCGCCTGCCTCAGATTCTTTTTCTCCCTCTCTCTCTGCCCCTCCCCAACTCATGCTCTGTCTCTCTCTCTCTCAAGAATAAAAACATTAAAAAAAATTTTTTTAATAAAAAAATAAGAATATAATAAATCATAGGGGTGCCTAGCTGGTTCAGTCGGTAGAGCATGCAACTCTTCATCTAGGGGTCATGAGTTTGAGCCCCACGCTGGGCATAGAGATTGCTTAAAAATATATATACACTAAAAATATAATAAATTATAATGTAAACAGTATAAAATGATATGAAAAGAAAGAATTATTTAACAAACTGGTTTGGAATCATTAAATAACAATATGAAAGAAATGAACTTGCCTTGGTCCTCACTCCATACATCAAAATAAACTCCAGATGGATGTAAAGGTTAAACTTAAAATAAAATCAACTATAGATCACTCTTAGAAGATTGATTGGGCAGTAGAAGAAATTTCAAAGGAAATGACACTCATCTATGAAAATATTTCATTCAAAAAATGGTAAAATACAAAGAAAAAGTCTTTTTAAAAATATTCTTTTCATATGTATCGAAGAAATAGAAAACTCCTTCCAGTTTAGAGAACTATAAGACCCCAACAGATAAATGCACAACAGATAAAAATGACCATTCATGCACAGCAGATATGAGTGTTAAACAGATGTGGAGAAAATATTCTATATGAACTGGCAATCAAAGTAGTGCGAACTTATAAAACACTACTTTACACCTAAATAAATTAGAACCAAAAAGACTATTGACAATATTCATTGCTAGCAAAGTTAAAGTAAAAGGGACACACTCATACGTTAATACTGTCAGCAAAAACTAGCGAAATCCTGGGGCGCCTGGGTGGCTCAGTCGGTTGAGCGACCGACTTCAGCTCAGGTCACGATCTCATGGTTCGTGAGTTCGAGCCCCGCGTCGGGCTCTGGACTGATGGCTCAGAGCCTGGAGCCTGCTTCCGATTCTGTGTCTCCCTCTCTCTCTGCCCCTCCCCCGTTCATGCTCTGTGTCTCTCTGTCTCAAAAATAAATAAACATTAAAAAAGAAAAAAAAAACAAAAAAAAAAAAAAACTAGCGAAATCCTGTTGAATGGCAGTTTTGAATGGTACACGAAGAGCCAGGAAACTATACTCTTTAACCTAAGGACTGATTTTGAGGAAATAATATAAAGAAAGAAAAAAGTATCCAATTTAAATCAGCAAACAAAAAGATGGAAAAAGAAAAGGTAAAAGGGTACAGTAAGCAACTATTAAAGCCTATAATAAAACGTGTAAATACATGGGAAATAATACATCAAAAAAGTAGAAAAGGTTATATGTCACATACAACTTTTACATAGCTATATCCATACAAGCAAAGACCAGAAGGTTAGATGAAAACTGAATACAGAATGCGATTGCAGATAAAATACTTTCTTTTGTTGTTTTTTCTAATATTTTCTAGTGTTTCTAGCATTTAACAGTAATTAAAAATTGAGTAAATAGGGGGAAAAACACCCAAAGATATCTAATTTTAGTAGTTATTATATTAAAAATTAGGATAACTTGGGCATTTATGAAGTGTCTCAGAAAAATATTGCCCCGTATGTTCTTGTCCCAGAATCCAGTAAGAGTACTTTACTGAGCCCCTGAATGGCCAAAATGACACTGTGTTTAGTTCTTCACTGGACCCCTAACCACTAAACCCCTCTGACAGTATGCCATCAATATCCGGGTCCTGTGTGTGCTGCACAGCTAAGCCCTTGGGGATAGAAGTGAGACCGTGTGAGACACTTAACTCCTGTCAGTCACTCGAAGCCAGCAAGATACTCGAAGCAGTCAAGGCTTTAAGTTACTCTTTCCCTTCACATCTTACTTGGTATCATTTGTTTGTGTGGTGACTTCATAATTGTGAGCTATCTCTGTTTTAGAGAAATTTGTTTTTAGATAACATCCATCTAACTTCAATAGAGCAGAAACCTTTAATCTGCTCATAGCAGAAAAATGGGTTAAATACCTATGCTATCAGCCACCCTCCCTTTTATTTGTTGAGCTCTATGTAATCATATATGGAAGGTCATGTTTTGACCGCTGTAATGAGAAGCCACATCTTATTAAGAATTTACAGAATTTCTTTTCTCTTAAGGTTGAGGAAGTTAGAGAAGAAGGAAATATATTTCCCTTCTAGGTACTGATGACTTCTTTCTGCTGCTTCATCACCATAGTAGATGTGAGTTGATTTGCTTTCAAGACCAGAATATCTTCAAAGCTGACTCAACACTACCTCGTTCAGTGTTCTGCCAACAGTGACCTTTTAGTGATTGGTGATCTAATGAAAATCTCCCATAACCTTTGACATTGTCATCATCCTCTCCTCACTCCATGGGACTTTGGGTACTTTGATGTTTATTTCTTAGCAGTGTAGTGACAATGCACTGATAAAAAGTGGGGCAAGGAGAAGCATCAATGGATCATATTCTTCTTTTTAAGTTCCATGAGATTAAAGCACATATTGATTGAATTTTTGAAGTGCCTTATTTAAAATAGCATTTTATTCACTATAAAAGTATTACAGGCTCGTGGTAAAAAAAAAAAAAACTAATACAGAAAAGGATAAAGAACATAATATGAATCATCAATAATGTTGCCACTTAGAAATGACCCCTGTTACTTTTTTGGTGCAAAAAAAATCAAAATCTAAGAAAGAGAGAAGCTTGAAAATAGTGCATCTATATGAGTAAATCTATCATGGCTAATGACCCTCTTAGTTACTTAATGAGAGGCAATGTGGTACAGTGGAAAAAGCACTGTCCCTGGAATCAGCCAATTTTTGAGTTCTGGGCCAAGTTCTGCCACTTACCAGCTCTATGACCTTGGGTAAGTTCTTAATCTCCTTGTCTCTGTTTTCTCATCTACAAATAACCATAATAAGGCCAGATTTATAAGATTGTTGAAAGAATAGGCACATGAGATGTAAAGCTCTATACTACACTAGTACTCAATAAAAGGTAAATATTAATATAAATATTATGCATAATTAGGTCCTTGGGAGAGTATCATTGAAAATTCATTCAACAAGGATTAATTGAACATCTGCACTCGAAATTCAAAGAGGAATAAAACAACACTTACCACGGGTGATGGAGTAGGGATAGTGGTATAGAGACAAATAAGTGGATCGAACATGGAAGCTTGAAGTGAGGTGGGGCCATGGGAATATCAAAATATGTTTCATTTGAAGGAGAGTCTATTGGAGATCTCTGATCTGCATGATTCCATTGGTTAAAAACTGATACAAACTAATATGTGAGAACATCTGATCTGTAGTACCAAGACCTGTAGAAAGGTTATATCTTTTGGTGAGTTACCAGGTAGGAGTCAAAGTGTAGAGATCACTTTGGGTGATGCTGAAGTTGGTACCTCCAGAGCGGCCTTGTAGAATGGTCCCTGAGCAAATTCTGAGATCCCTCTAAGTTTGTTTCTCGCTTGTGTGCCTAGATACTTGGGAAGTGCCATTTGAGGAGATCTCAGAGCTGCAGTGGCTGGGTAGTGGAGCCCAAGGAGCTGTCTTCTTGGGCAAGTTCCGAGCGGAGGAGGTGGCCATCAAGAAAGTGAGAGAACAGAATGAGACGGATATCAAGCATTTGAGGAAGTTGAAGCACCCTAACATCATCGCTTTCAAGTAGGTCAAGGCTTTTTTAAAAAAAGAAATAGAGAGATTTTCTTTGCCCCAGTATCTGCATATGAGTTCCTGCTTGGAAAGACATATTAAGAATACTCTATAGACTTAATACTGTGCTAGGTGTTTGGGGAGGATACCAAAGAACGATTCAATGAAAGTCATGGGTTTAAGGATCTTACAATCTAGCAGCTCTTCTTGCCAGAGTACACCCTTCTCAGAAAGGATGTACATGGGACGGAGAGAGAGAAGGTGGATTTTTGCGAAGCAGTCAGATCTGATGAATCAACCCCATTTATTAGTGGGATGACAGAAGTCACTTCAAGATAACCTGTACATCTTAAAATTCACTTAAGAAAACAAAGTTAATGTCTGAAGTGATCACAGAACAATTAGTCCCTGTGCAACAGACGGCATTTTTTATTAGTTTCTATTAGCCTCCCTTATTAAATATTAACTTGTAATAACAGGCACCTTCGGAGTATTTCTCCTTGCCTCAAGTTTTGCTAGATCCCTTTTCAAGCATAGTAAGTTGTATGGTATGCTCATTCCAGAAAGTAGTCATTTCCAAGAGTGTATGAATATATCTTTCTAGTTCAGACTGTTATTTTCATAATATTAGCAGGAACCACTAGTAAAAAGGGGAGGCACAAAGGTAAATTTGCTGAATCCCCCAAATTTAGCAGTACTGAGCTCTAAATATGTGTAATCTCTTCTGCCAGTACCTTTCTCTTGAGTTCCCTGTCTTCCCAGCGTCCAAATTCTGCCCTAGCCTTCAACAAATGAATGGTGAGTGACTTTACAGGAGGGAAGATGAAGAATAGGAAAGCTAGCCTTTAGGTAGAAGGAAAGTTTAGAAACTAGAGCTTCTTGGCATATTTTATATATACCAAGTATGTGTGTGTATAAAATATATATGTATGTATACATATGTATACATACATATATATATGTATTTCAATCCTGGAAAATAGTATGACTGATGAGGCTACAGCTAAAAGTGGAATAATATACAAATTCCCCTTCCCTAAACTAGGAGGAACTTCTCCCAGCCCCCAAGAGGGATCCTTTCTTGATAAAACTTTCATTATAAAGGTAAACAGGTCATGTGATGATATTTCAATGGAATCACACCCCTCAACTAAGGAATAGAAATCTTGGGTACCAGTTTTGTAGAATGCGTTTAAGTGAGTATTGATGTTGAGTTTTGATTCCCAAACAAGACCCCTTTATGGAAAGGGAAAGAGGTGTGAAAAGAAGAGAAGCATTCAGCTGGGATACTAACTGAAGTGCTTGGATTTATTTCCTTGTAGAAGGCACATCAATACAGTGGACATGGGAGAGAGCTTCAGTTGTTGTAATGATTCCATCTTTTGTTGTCCTATTAGGGCAGGAGGATATGAGATGAAAATGAAATACTATACAGACGAATTATAATCTTTCCAAAGATGATAAATTTCAAAAGACAATTGAAGGATTATTTGTAGACAGACTGTCAGAGACTCCCTTCTTTCCTTCATTTTCCTTCCCTGAGAAAATCATCACTTCTAGTAATGCTACATTCTAAGTGGAAGGAAGGGCCTTTCATTTAACTTCCATTTAACTAAACTTTTAAGCTTAGATTACTAGGATACTGAGTTTGAGACGCAGAATATTCTATAGATTAGCATGGCTTTTTGGCCTCCTGAAGTGAGCTGGGCTGTAGGTCCCAGGTATGAAGGCTTTCTAGCAAGATGTCCTGAGTAACTAAAGGTAGAAATGTGTCCTAAGAGTATTGGGTGTGAGAAGCTTTATTTTTCCTTCCTTTCTTTTGCTTTTTCCTTTTTCCTCACAACCTTTTCCCCACCTCACTCCTCTGACCCTCCTACCTACATTTGCAATTTTCAGCATTTTGGGCAAGTATTGCCATGCCGGTACCCCATTATATAGGCCAAAGATGCTTGAATAGTCTTTACCTCTACATGGAAAACAATAGTGAGACTGTGTCCCTGGCCCATGACACCACACTCTTGAGGCATTGTGCAGTGTTATGTTTGCAGCCATCTGTGCCATGTGTTGCTTGGCCAATGAATCATTCAGGACCGTCTGGAAGATATGAAGCCATGATTAGATTTCAGTATGTCTCTCTGGATACTGATTGCTGTGCCTACAGCTTCCTTTGAAGTTAAGAACTGTATACAGAAGGGGAAGTGAAAGAGAAGACTTATGTATTTTTCCCCCAGTTTTTTGAAAGCAATCTTTGAAAAAAACCCAACCTGACTGTTCCTAATGGCATCGGGTGCCAAAAGGAAGAAAAGGTAGCAATTAGAAGTGATTATAGAGCTGCTATTTATAGCTACTAAGAAGCCTTGTCATAGTACAGGGTTGATGGAATGATTGCTTCTCATTCATTAGTCAAGAAACATGAAAAGTACATAACATATCACTGTTACCCTTTCTGTCTGTTTGTGTGACAGGTTGAAACATACTTGAATAGGCTGTCGAGTGGCTTCAGACAAATATTTATTTTGATATCCTTGAGCACGTTACATTGTTCCTGCCTATTCATTGTTTTTCTGTAATGAAAATTAAATTGCCTTCTTATGGTTGTGGTATATTTGTACTCCACTGAGGTCTCCTAAAAAGTAACAGGAACTTGAAAAAAATTTTCATTAGAAATGAGGGTGGGAATTCTGGGTAGCTTAGAAAATGATGAGAGAGTAATAGAAACAGCTTTGTGGCATTTGACAGGCATATGAAGTCAGGGGAAATGAAGAGTAATTACTCTTCTTCATGACCTGCCTTTGTTGTAAGACTTTCACATGATCACAAGCCATTGCCTCTAAATCTTCTCATCATCATATCATTGCATACGATAATTTTTCTTCTCTTTTCTCATCTTCAGAACAAAAGTGTGACGTAGGGCTGATATGACTATTACCACTTTTCTAAGGGAGCATTAATATAGGAATCCCCAATATGCTTATGTATACAGAAGTTAAAAAGCAAAAAAAGGAGGCAGTGTAACATGGTGAGTGGAAAGAGCATGGGCTTTGAAGTTAGACTGGATTTGAATCCCAGCCCTGTCACAGGTCTATGATCTAGGGCAAGTCACTTTCCCTCTCTGAGCCTTACCTGTAAAAATGGAAGAGGTCATATTTATTGTGCAATGGTTTGGGGCAGATTAAATAAGACAAATAAACATGGAAATATTCTGGACAAATAAAAGATGTTCTTCCATGTTAATTCATTTCTTCCTACCCCTTGCATCTGCACGTGTCTCTGCGAAGGATTTTATCAGCAGAGAAAGCTAAGTTGAAGCTAAGAAATATTTGCAAAAATGGGGCACCTGGGTGGCTCAGTCAGTTAAACTTCCAGTTCTTGGTTTGGGCTCAGGTCATGATCTCATGGTTTGTGAGATTAAGCCCCGCATCAGGCTCTGTGCTGACAGTGCAGAGCCTGCTTGGGATTCTCTATCTCCCTCTCTCTCTGCCCCTACCCCACTGTGCTGTCTCTGTCTCTCTCAAAATAAATAAATAAACTTAAAAACATATATTTGCAGAAAGAAAGAAAGAAAGAAAGAAAGAAAGAAAGAAAGAAAGAAAGAAAGAAAGAAAGAAAAAGAAAAAAATATTTGCAAAGTTAGGTGCCTGGGTGGCTCCATCAGTTAAGCATCTGACTCTCAATTTCAGCTCAGGTCATGATCTTACAGTTGTTAGATCAAGCCCAGGTTGGGCTCCATGCTGGGCATCGAGCCTACTTGAGATTCTCTTTCTCCATCTACCTCTCCCCTACCCCACTTGCTCACTCACTCTCTCTCTCTCTCTCTCTCTCTCTCTCTCAAAAAATAAAAAATTTGCAAAGGACTTGCTGTGAACTTCTAGGCCTCATGGTAGAAAGAAAAGAATCCAAGACCTTCTCTTCAAGGAGCCTATAGTCTGTATGGGGAGAGGAAAATTGCATATAAAAAACTAATGGCTCCTGTGTAGCATAGGAATTTATAGAAGAGAAAGATCTTCTTGGACTGGATTAATCAGAAAAGGCTTTGTGGAAGATGTAGGGATTGATGGAAGCACAGACCACATAGATATGTGATACATTGTATAGTATTGTTTTTATTCTAGGGGCACCTGGGTGGCTCAGTCAGTTAAAGGTCCAACTCTTGACTTTGGCTCAGATTATGATCTCATGGTTTGTGGGATCTAGCCCCACATCGGGCTCTACGCAGACAGCACAGAGTCTGTTTGGGATTCTCTCTCTCCCTCTCTCACTGTGTATCCCCTCTTGCTCTCGCTCTCTCTCTCTCTCTCTCTCTCTCTCTCAAATATAAATAAATAAACATTAAAAATTTTTTTTTAAATATTTTTAAAACAGAGATGTTTTTCAAAGACTATATAATACAGAAAATTAACTCTTTTTGGGGTCCTCAGTCTAGTTATCTTAAATTTGGCAAATTCAAAATTCAATTATTAATAGTAAAAATAGCAATGTTTTATTTGAATTCTCCCTATACACTATATATAAAACCCTCTATTTAATTTTAACAGGAAGATATTTAAATTATTCTTAAAGATCTAAAACAACATAATCCTTGGCCTACATATGTCTCAGGAAAGGTGCTCTTTGTTCCAGAATGGAATGGACCCACAGAAAAGCACCAGATACAGCACAAAACAGAGATAATCTGGAGTGAATCAAATTAATGAAAATTGTCTATGTGCATAACAGGGAAGCCTGTAGACCAGAGGGGTTTTAATGGTAATTGATGAATCAGGAAAGATTATGCCTTTTAAAAATAATATGGGTAAAGAACTGGGTCTTAATTAGTACATTTATTAAATATTCTTAAAATATAAATATGGATATATGTATGTTTGTATGTATGTGTGTATTTATAAACGTGCTTGTGTTTTCTTGAAAGGGGTGTTTGTACTCAGGCCCCATGTTACTGCATCATCATGGAATACTGTGCCCACGGACAACTCTATGAGGTTTTGCGAGCTGGCAGGAAGATCACACCCCGATTGCTAGTGGACTGGTCTACAGGAATTGCAAGTGGAATGAATTATTTGCACCTCCATAAAATTATTCACCGTGATCTCAAATCACCTAAGTGAGTTTTTCAGCCATTTTGTTGTATTGCTTTAAAATAAGGAATTTTATCGAACATAGTTGAAGTTTTCAGACATCATACTTTCAGTTCAGTTTAAATCAGCATGGAGGGTACCCTATTTGCATATTTTCTGGATTATTGTTGACCAGTTGACCTACCTAAATGGCAGATAGCTCTAGGCACCTGACACTAGTTTTCTCCTTTGGGTTGCATTTTGATTGTGCAACTGTGAAACAAGATTCTTTATTAACTGAAGTATTCACTTTCCATTATCTCAGATAATTAATGCCAAATGTTCCCATCTAATGGCTTGCTTTGTCGTTTTCCTAGTGTTTTCCCCAAAGACCCAAGTTTTAGAAACCAAGTTTCAAAGATGTATACAACGGGATAAAAATGGATAAATAAGAGACTGAGGCAAAGAGAAAATAAGAGCATTAGAACTAAAGCTAAAGATTTGGCTTTGACCTTCGTAGAATCTAAGCAAAGAAGGAAATACATAGCTTCAAGGTTCATGGTATCCATAAGATAATATAAACTGGCTATTTAAGAGAAACAGGTTGTTTCTAGTAATTTCTGTTCTTTGGCCATCACTAACCACTTTAAGAGGAGTGTTAATTCAGTTCCTGCAAACTGCATGAAAGGAAGAAAGGAACTGATAAAATGATAGATTTCATTGTAGCTCCTATATTTAAACATTATTTTTATTATTTCTCATCACATTTTTGGTTTAGAGAAGCAGAGAGGAATTAATCTCTTTTCAAAATTAGCACTTTCATAGACTACAGTATTTTTTTCAATATCTATAATCACATCTGCTTTGATCTTAGCAAAAATTGTGTGGGGCAGCTGCAACAAGTATAACTATTCTTATTTTATATTAGAAAAGCCTGAAGTCATGGAGCTAGGACTTGAACCCAGAACTTTTAGACCAAAAAGTCTAAATTCTACCTCATCATGTGAAAGTGAAGGATTCAGTGAATCCTCTTGATGGAAGACACCAATCAATCCTCGATTATAAACTTCAAAGCAGCTGTAATTTGTCACCATGATTCTCATTAGTGCTTATCATAGTCACTAGCTCCCTGAACAACCTTCTCCTGCTTTACTTGCAAATGAACTCTATTTCATTGCTTACACAACCTGTTGCTTTTGTCATCCACTACATACCCATAAGGGACACAAAATATTGCCCAAGGCCTCTTTGAATGGTCTCCTTAACCACCTTGTTCTCCTGGAGAATTCACTTTAGAGGAAGAGGTCGGGAAATTTTAGAATATATAAAGTCACATGCTACTTTCTTTTAACTCGTCTCATTTAGAGATTAGAGTAATAAGTCACCCAATGAGCCTTTCCCTCCCTTATCAGTATTCCCCTGAACTTCCAGCAGCCTTGGCCTCTTTGCGTTCCAGGCTAACTTTGAGAAGACAAAGATCAGTCTGGCTTGTAGTAAAGAGAGATTCCATGACCTGCATTAAATCTTAGGCTGTGTGACCCCAGCTTTGTCTCAGAGAAGACCTGACAAAAGTTCCAACCTCATGTGCTCTTTAGTCTGTCCCCATGTCCATTCCCTCTTCTCATGCCAAGAAATCCCATAGTGAGCAGCACAAAAGAGACAGAAGAGGAAGCTTCTAGTATTTTTCTTTCTAGGGGCTTATCGCCTTTTCTGACTTCCATGGTATATGATTCCATCAGTTCTGCAGTTATGCCAGATACCCCATAATATTTAAATCCTTATGCATTTTCACCAAGACTAACACCATTAAATCAAAGTGTGCAAATTATGTAAATATTACATACCAGGTGCAAAATCAGGGGTAGGACGTGGATGAAGGTATTCTAAAGCAGTTGTAAATCTGGTAAATAGAAAGCCATGTGACACTGATGGAGAGGGGGGCAAATGTGACGTCCCTGGTTCAGACAAGGGAGGAGATAGAGAAGTTTCCTGTTTTCTAGCCACCTCAATTCTGATACTCTGAATATCAAGCCTTCTTATTATTAAAAATAGGTCTCTATATCATTAAGCCTCTGAAACTCTAACTCATGAATATTCTAAAGTTCTAAACAGGTTATTTCAAGTGAATTCAGTCTGGTGTGTAAGGATATTACTATTTTGGATTCAACTGGTACCAGATTGTATTCATCTTTAAGGCTAAAAGAGCAATTTTCCCCAAGTAACATTTCAGATAAATACTGCGAAAAGGAGAACACGACTTGTGTGGAATCTGCTTAAGCCTAAATGTGTCCCAGCTTTTCCTTATTAGCTTTTAGTTTCATGGTTCCATGCATGATTTTAGTTGGCCGTTATTTAAACAATGTTTTAAAAGAAGTGTTTTTCTTAGTGATTTGTCTGAGACTGGCAAGGATGGAAACTGATATTTATAGAGGAGGGGTGTTTTATATATCTAATCTCATTTAATTCAAATGAAAATTCCATGAAGGCCATTATTATAGGCCCATAGTTCCGTATCCAAAACTCTTAGAGTCAGAGGATATCAGATAGCATTACCTCACACCCCCAGCAAAGTCTAGGACAACACTCTCTAATGAGCCACAGATAAATTAAATGAGTTTGCTTGATATAGATGAGAAAATATTTATATACTATTTTCAGAGTTTTCTGCATGTTTGAATTCTGGAGAACATACTGTGACCCAAACTGTCCCCATCTTACAAATGAGAAAACCGGCTTCGGAGAATTAGGTAGCAGAGGTCACACAGCCAGTAAGTGGTGGAGGCAGGCTCAAACCAGGTAGAAAAAGCCCACTATGCTGTGCTGCCTCACATGTTTGAGTGATGCTGATGCCCCAGTAATATTGGAACTCACAAGCTGAATTCTACAAGTAGGAGGCAGCAAACTAAGTTGCCAATTACAGTCATGGTGTTTATTAGTACTAATGATCTGGATGTTCTGTCTATTTCTTTTTAAAGTGTTTTGGTGACTCACACAGATGCAGTAAAAATTTCAGATTTTGGTACATCTAAGGAACTCAGTGACAAAAGTACCAAGATGTCCTTTGCCGGCACAGTCGCGTGGATGGCACCAGAGGTGATACGCAATGAACCTGTCTCTGAAAAAGTTGATATATGGTGAGTGGTGCCATCTGTCCCAGCTAGAAAGCCTCTCCCACTTCACCCTATTAGACCTTTCCTCCTTCAACTCTTCTGCTTTCCCAAAATATTCTTTAGTGTCCCTCACTCCTGGCTGATTTCAGTCTCCTCTTATCTGAGGTACTAACCAGTGTAATGATGAATGTGTTAAGAAGGATTGAGAGGTAATAGGGTGAATATGTATTTAGTAAATCATCAGTTTTGGAGACTTTCACAGAATGTGCTGAACTCTCTGGAAAATTGAAAATTTACTTCAAATAAGCATTTAGTATCAAAGTCTTTCTGAAATATATTATATAATTCTCAACTTCTTAAATAAAATACATTAAACAAAGTTTACTTAGTCTTGGTGACTCAGACCATCACTGTGTATATCAGTGATGTACTTTGCTGTAATACAGTTTATGTGCTTTAGAGCTATCTGAAGTATATAATAGGACTATTTGCCCTTTTAAGAAACAGTCCCTATGAGCTATACTATTTTTTTTTTGGCCTTTTAAAAATCTTTATCAGTTTTTCCTTTGAGATTATGAATCTTTACTATTAATAGTATATTTCCCTGTAGTTACTTTTCTTCCATTCTTAAAATTGGCTACTAATAACTTTTAGCCTTAAAAACAAAATAATAGCATATATTAAAATTACATGTAACACCAGAATAAGATAAAGTAGAAATGTGGGATCATTTGTAATTTGGGTAATTATTACCAACGCATACTCCTTAGGGATTATACCAGTTACGTTCCCAACAGAAATGTATAAGTATTTTCTCAGTCTCACCGCCAAAATGTGTTAAATTTTTGGATTTTTGCCAACCATCTAGGTAACAAATGGTATCTTGGGTGTGGCTTTAATGCACATTCCTCTCATAAGTTAGGTTGTTCATTTTTTCATATGTTCACAAACCATTTGTAATTCCTTATTTGTGAACTATTCTGATCCCTTGCTAAACTTTCTGATCTTTATTCTTATCAATTTATAGGGGTATTTTGTATACTAAGGAGATTAGCCTTTTGCGCATAGGAATTACAGATACTTTTCACCTTTGCTATTTTGTTTATGGTGGAGTTCTTTCTCCATGCTAGATTTTTTTGAAAATGCTCTCCCCTTATGGCTTCTGGATTTCATAACTGGAAAGCCTTCACCGCTGTAAGATTAGTAAAAAGAAAAAAATTTTTTCATGTGTTCTTTCAGGATGTTTATGGCTTCATTTTTTCTTTTCACATTTGAATTTTTGATTCTTTGGGAATTTATCTTGATGTAAGATGAACTATAGATTTAATTTTTCCCCCAGTTGTCCCAATGGCATATATTGTATAGTCTGTTTTCCCTCATTGGTTTGGGATGTCGCTTCTATCACATACTCAATCCCATATGTATTTGGCCTATTTATGGATCTTTATTACATTCATGGAGTCCGGCTGTCTATTCACGTGCCAGAGTTAATTATGAAAACCTTATAATATGTCTTAATATCTAGCAGCGTTGGTCACCCCTTACTGAGTTTGTTTTTCAGAGTTTTTCTGTTTCTGTTCTTCTTATGGCCGTATTAGAATTTTGAAACTGGGTATACTTTTGATTAAAAATGAATAGAGAACAAAAATACAAACCAGTCTTTCTGCTGTGTCTTTGGTACCTGTTCCTGGTACTACTTTAGGTCTTTTGGAGTGGTGCTTTGGGAGCTGCTGACGGGAGAGATCCCTTACAAAGATGTGGACTCTTCAGCCATCATTTGGGGTGTTGGAAGCAATAGCCTACACCTTCCAGTTCCTTCCACTTGCCCTGATGGATTCAAAATCCTTATGAAACAGACATGGTAAGAAATATATTTCTCCCAATATTCTCTTTTACCTTCTTCCTCAAAACCACATTTAAAACTTCTCTAAAACTTCAGAGAGGTCTCTAATATGGATTTGGAGCAAATCAACTGGTTAAAGACTGGTGGACTTGGAGTTATTTATAAATAACGAATTTGTTATATCCTGCTACAATAGGCCTTAATAAATGATAGCTATGGTAACTATTATTACTTTACTTGTCCTAAGGGACTATTATTATCAAACAGGTCACTGATCCTACAGATTTCCATTTTATTATTATAGGTTTCTCATAATTACATTTTCCTTTTGCTCCTCAGTGCATGAACACTGCCTGAGAAATAGCCAGGTGTGGAGCCAAAAATGTTTTTTATAAAGCAGAATAAAATCTTTATCCTCCTGGACCCAACTGCCGCAGTGCACAAGCTGTCTTTTTTTAACTTGTAGGCAGAGTAAACCTCGCAACCGGCCTTCTTTCCGGCAGACGCTCATGCATTTAGACATCGCTTCTGCTGATGTTCTTGCCACCCCACAAGAAACCTACTTCAAGTCTCAGGTGAGTCTGGAAACTCTCTTCCAGTGTACTGAACACACAGACAGGGAGGTCTCGATGAGAAAGAGTAACTCAGAACCATTCCGATTCTTCTAACAATGATACAGCCCTAGTCATTGTGAAGCAGTAATTATGATCTCTCACACAGAGGAAATTTTGGAGCTTTTTAAACACTTAAGATATATCATTATCTCATTTGAAAGGAACATGTATTGAAATGTCATCCTCATAGTGGTGAAACTGTTGAAGAGTAAAGAGGAATATATTTGAATTAGAATTACTGCTGACCAGGGGCGCCTGGGTGGCTCAGTCGGTTGAGCGTCCGACTTCGGCTCAGGTCATGATCTCGCGGTCCATGAGTTCAAGCCCTGCATTGGGCTCTGTGCTGACAGCTCAGAGCCTGGAGCCTGCTTTGGATTCTGTGTCTCCCTCTCTCTCTGCCCCTCCCCCACTCATGCGCGCGCGCTCTGTCTCTCTCTCTCTCTGTCAAAAATAAACATTAAAAAAAAATTAAAAAAAAAATTACTGCTGACCTTCATGAAAAGATTGCTTCCCTTGAAGGGGAAAAGCTAAAGTACAGAGGAGGGAAGTGAAATACCAGAGAGAGAGAGCCCATGATAGAATCAGGCCCAGAGAGAACCTTTCCTCTACCTTTATGTGTCACCCACGAGCACCAGATAAAATGTAATTTTTTTAATGTTTATTTATTTTTGAGACAGAGGAAGACAGATCGCAAGTGGGGGAGGGGCAGAGAGAGAGGAAGACACAGAATCTGAAACAGGCTCCAGGCTCCGAGCTGTCAGCACAGAGCCCGATGCGGGGCTCAAACCCACGAACTGTGAGATCATGACCTGAGCCAGTCAGACGCTCAACTGACTGAGCCACCCAGGTGCCCCAGATAAAACGTAATTTAATGTATCTGTTAGCCTTTACTGTCTTACAGACCATTCCAGACTTATGGCTTAAAACAATAAGCTTTAGTTTAGCTTATGGTTCTGTGGGTCGGCAGTTTGGGTGGGCGGTTCTCCTGCCGGCTTCCACTGGGCTCACTCACATATCTGTAGTCCATTGCTGGGTCCACTGGGAGGCTGGCAGGTTCTTGGCAGCTTCATTCACAAGTGTGGTGATTGGCTGGCTGTCACCAAGAGCACCTCGGTTCTCTTCCACGTGGCCTCTTGTCCCTCGGAAGCCTAGCTTGGGCTTGTTCACAAGCTGTTATCAGGGTCACAAATTCGGTAAGACAGCAAGACCCAGGGCACAAGGGATTTTCAAGCCTAGGTGTGCACCATGCGTGCTAATGTCTCTTTGGTCAAAGCAAGTCACAGGCCAACCCCAGGATGAGAAGCAGACTTCACCTCTTGGCGAGCGAATCTGCCCCGGCACTCTGTGAGGGCATGGGTGCAGAGGGGGAACAATTTGTGACTGTTGAATAAAAATGCTGTAACGTCATAAGGATTTCATCTCTGCGCTCACTTGCAGTATCACTTAAAAGAGTCATTCTCGGAGAAGACGTTTTATTAACAATTGGTATCTCAGTCTACCCCTCATCTCCACCCATCTCCAGTGGGTGATGAGGGTACCTACCAGGAAAGTATATGTTGAAAAGAGTACTGCACTGGGAGGGGCATCATCCCTACGAGTTCAACAAGCCCTCCAGTATGCTTTACGACCTGGCCCGACTCGAGGCTTGGAGTACCTGCTTCTCACGTGTCTGATAAATGCAGACACTCTGCCCATCAGACATTAGGGGATACCTTAATAAAAATACAAGGTGGGGGTTTTTTGTTTGTTTTGTTTTTTGTTTTTTTGTTTTATCTCGGACCGCCTAAGGACTGATAAACCAGAGACTTTTATCTTGTTGCCCCAAGTTCCAACACACACTCTATGGTCCACAAACGTAGCTCTCCTCACAACTGTGTCTTTAAATAGTCAGGATTGCCCCCACAGACCTTTAGTGTTTCTGAGGAATTATTATGTAAGCAAAGTGTTTGATTTCAGAGAAAACGCAAGGATGTAGGGGGGTTGACTTTATCATATCATTTCCTACGTCCTTTGATGTGCATTCCGATAAACTCCCTTAAAACTTTCAAAAACCATGACCTCTCTATTCAAATACACATAAATAAGGGCCACTGGAAAAGAAATCTGCCCAATCTCTTTTTGTGTTAGTATTCATAAAAAGACTTAGGCCCTTTCGTGAAATGAAAGAGAGTAATAGTAAGTACTTTCTAAGGAGTCTTTTAGACTTTAGGATATGATTTCAATCACAGCTTTGCTTCCCTTACCATAAAAGTATATATACCAAAATTTGGAAAAGCAGTTTTTGGTGACAGTACTAACGCACAAGCCATTGAGACTGCATAACTGTATATACTTGGAAAACTTCAAATTCTAGACAGATTTTACCTGAATGCTCCCAGAACGTCACTTATGAAGCCAGTGCCGCATTTTCTGAGTACCCACCCTATGCAAAGTACAATGTCATGCAACTAAGCAGCCACATTTGGTATCTTTATTTGTACAAACTCACTTTTACGAGTAAAATTGAACTCAGAAAAGTTTCTTTGGGGAGCACCTTGGTGGCTCAGTCGGTTAAGGTCCAACTCTTGGTTTCAACTCAGGTCATGATCTCACAGTTCATGAGATCGAGCCCCACATCGGGCTCTGTGCTGACAGTGCAGACCCTGATTGGGATTCTCTGTCTCCCTCTTTCTCTGCCCCTTCTCTGCTCATGCTTTCTCTCTCTCTCTCTGTCTCTCTCAAAGTAAATAAATAAACATATTCTTGAAGGGAAGAAGTGGGGGAAGAAAGGAAAGGGAAAACATTACATTGGAAATCTTATAATATTCATCAATTCTTCTACATTTTTCTCCCAACATGAAATTTTACCTCTCCTTAAAAAGCCCCAAATCTGCTATCCTTGCTAGTTCCTAGAATTATTTCAGATACTTACAAGCTGATTTGTCTCTGGGTCTGAAATTCAGACTATCTCTGGCTACTGATAAAGTATTTATGAACTGAATTTATGTACTGAAGTACTCAGAAAAGCAACAGACTTGAGTCTAAGCCCTTGTCCTATGATCTTAGACAAGTTGCTAAATTTCTCTAATTTCTCTTTAGCAGGGGTCCCAGATCCCTGCTGCTCTCAGCTTACTCATCTAAACAATGAAGATAATCATCTCTTCTCTTCCTTATGGAGTTTTAGCTAGGATCAAATGATAAGACAGAAATGCAACTGTATTGGAAACTAAAGAACTATCCGATTTAAGATGTTATTCATGGCCCACAAAGCTACAGAAATGAAGCTTCCTCCGGGTTGTTACATGCTGTCGAGCTCCTGAGACAGATAAGATGGCAGCTGGGGAACTCCTCTTCACGGTGCCTTGGTTTTATGCCACCCCAAAGGGGAAGAGCTGGTTGTGCGTCTCGTACCTGAGGCTTCCCCTCCTCCTGCCTGCTGACAAAGCCCTGTCAGCATCAGTTATCAATCAGCGGTGGTTAGCCACAGGTCTCCACTTTCCACCAAAACTGTCAGGCAAGAGCACCGGCAAGAGCCCAGCTGACTCCTTTCTGAGAGAAATTGCTTTAGCTGTTGCTCAGCCTACACACGTATAAAGATGCAGCACACACAGAACAGATGAACGAAGCAACCAATTTCAGTACAGTATTCGATTCTGCCAAAGCCACTGCCTTGTTCCTAGACAATAACCCATTCCTCCAAGTAGGCAATTATTGTTCCTGGTATTCAACTGCATTTGATATCAGTCTTTAGAAAACATTTTAGCGGGGGTCCCAGATCCCTGCTGCTAGGTAGGCCACGTGCCCTGCTTCTAAGTTCTCCCACCAGCCTCTGCTTTTTGTACCATCTGGTTCCCTCTTGAGTACCACTGTGACCACTCAAATTCAGGGGCTGGGAGTTGCAGACACCAAGCTCATTATAGGGACAGACTGTGCTCCTCAAGAGTAATCTCATCATGGGGCGCCTGGCTGGCTCAGCTGGAACAGCATACAATACTTTATCTTGGGATCGTGAGTTCGAGCCCTTCATGGAATGTAGAGATTACTTAAATAAATTTTTTAAACTTAAAAAAAAAAAAAAAAGAGCTACCTCATGAGCAAATAGGTACTTGGGCAGAGGCTGGGCACTTCCTTACCTGGGAAGGCAGTAAAGGGGATTCATGTGCCAGTAAAGCGTGGGCCTTGATGACCTCTAAGTCTTTTCTGATTCAGAATCTATGATTTCCAGCCACTTAGCCTCCTACGGTCCTGCTTCTCTCTTCCTTCAGCTAGGCTGGAGCTGGCTCAACTTCTTTCTTTCCTCTTTAAAATTTGTGGTAAAATACATATAATACAAAAATTGCCACTTTACCCATTTTGAAGTGTACAGTTCAGTGGCATTCATTAAATTCACAACATTGTGAAACTGTCACCACAATTTCCAAAAGTTTTCATCATCCCATTAAGCAATAACTTCCCATTCCCTCCTCCCCTTGCCCCTGGTAATCTCTGTTGTCCTTTCTGTCTCTATGAATTTACATATTCAATCTACTGATTGAATAACTGGAAGTCTGGAGAAGACAAAAACCTTTTAAGTGTTGTGACCTTTCCCAGGCCTTATCCGGGACATTAAAAGGATCCAGTTGGGGTGCCTGGGTGACTCAGTTGGTTAAGTATCCAACTTAACCAGTATCCAGCTCAGGTCACAGTCTTGTGGTTCTTAAGTTCAAAGCCCCATTGGATTCTCTGTACCCCACCTCTCTCTCTGCCCTTGCCCTGCTTGTACTCTCTCTCTCTCAAAAATAAACATTTTTTTAAAAAGAATTAAAAAAAAATTTTAAAGGATCCCATTAGTGGTAATAACCTAGGTGTAACTAGATTTTTCCCTTACCTGCTTATGCAAGAATACCTTGTGAAGCACCTCGTGTTCCCTCCCTTCACTGCCCCCCCAGTGCATTTTGGGGGAATCCCCAGTAAAGAGTGGGGATCTCAGTAACTTCATACATAGTAACATCTGCGCTGCTTTCCACTGAATGGCCAGACACAGTAGTCTCCTGCCTAGTATCTGCTAGATACTACTTTATGGGTTAGCATTGTTTTCTGCCACAAGACCATAGTCCCCAGCTGGCATCCATTGGGTGCTGCCGTATCTTTAAGGCACTGCCATCACCCACTGAGTGCTGCCATTTCCTGCTGTAACTGAAGCTTGGAATTCTCAAGATTCCAAAGCTGCATATTGTTCTATTTACACAATGACCTCTTCCTTTCTCTGGTGAGTTACACTTTGTTAAAGGTAACAGACCAGTGCTGTTTACGGCCCAGTGTTTTACAGGCATTTTAATGAAACAATGGGAAATGCTTCTCCACTCTTATCGTGGCTTTGTTGTAGGTCAGGTTCATGTAGGATTCCTCCTTCTCTCATGCCATATGTTCTCTCCGAGGCACCTCAGTCTTTACAAATTGGTTTCAGGCCTACCCACCTTCCATTTTTTCAGATATACCCAGACATGTCTGCAGTGCAGATTAAGTGCAAATTGGAACTCCTATAATGTAAAGATTCTAAGCAAATGTGGTGAAAGTCCAAAATTAACATCTACCAGTAACACTATACCTGCAGGGAAAATATATGATTAATCAGTACTGGTGTTTTCCCATATATCTTGTTCCCTCTTCATATGGAAGGGGGTACTTCTTTTTAGAAATTTCCTTTTTAATAGGTTCCAATCTTCAAAAGGGTTTATTTATTTCCTCAAGAAATGAAAAAAAATAAAAAATAAAAAAATCTATTCTGTGACATCTGATTCCTGACCACCAGAGGGAGATGTTTCTTTTCCTGGTCCCTTCTTTTTAGGTATTGTACTAGGATCTACTGATATGTTTTTGCACAAAAGAGGACGCTTTAAGGCCCAGACCTGGCCAGCTCCCTTATCCTTTTTTGGTCTAACATCTCTTGATTGTCAATCTTAGGCTTCTTTTTTTTTTTTTTTTTTTTAATTTTTTTTTTTAATGTTTATTTTTGAGAAAGAGAGAGAGAGAGACAGAGTGCAAGTGGGGGGAAGGGCAGAGAGAGAGAGGGAGACACAGAATCCAAAGCAGGCTCTAGGCTCAGAGCTGTCAGCACAGAGCCCAACGTGAGGCTCGAACTCATAAACTGTGAGATCATGACCTGACCTGACGTCAGACGCTTAACCAACTGAGCCACCCAGGCACCCCGATCTTAGGCTTCTTGAGGCTCAGATATTCTTTTTACTTCAGACTTTGATCTGATGATTGACAGAACAGCATTACTTTAGGAGCTCAACCAAACCTGCATTTATTGCTTAGATACTGTCAAAGACTGTTACCAAACAATGGGCAGTGCATTCTGGATCTGACTTTCTGATGACCTTGACTTTCTGATGACGTTGTTCGGCAGGTTTGGTGCCCAAAAGTCAGCTGAGTGACAGAAATCTTTCTCCAATGGTCAGTCAACATATATAGAGAGATACATGAATGTCTAGCGTATTATAAATAGATTAGCAGGATGATCACTTTTTAAATACGTATGATATGATTTCCTCTAAAAACTAAATGAGAAATAGCAAATTTGGGAAGAAACCTTCTGGAATTTCACAATTACTTAAGCATAACTTCTTCCATGATCTAGAGAAATAATTTTAAACATGAATCTAAAAGTAATAGAATAGCTCCAGAGGAAGAATATGTAATTAGAGGCATTTAGTTATACGTCTAGCTTTTACTGGAAATTATCTTAGTCTCATTAGCTTCTTGGGGATTGTAGTTTATATGTAATTTGAGGAAACATCTCCTTTAGCTCTTTTCTAGAAATTGCCTGTAGACTATATTGCAGCAGAGGTTTTTCTATTCCCTAAAATTTAGATAAAATGGGCTTGGAATTCCATGCTCTGTGGAAAGTCCCGTGTCCTAACGCTTCTGTGAATTCCTGGGAAATTTATAATTTCCTGGTCCCTCTGGCTCTGCCTTTCTAAAATTTTGGGGCCCCATCCCTGCCATCTTGTGGTTGTTTCTCTATCTTTGTCCTGTCATTGACCCAAACGTGGAGTTCAGCACCTTTCCTTGATGTCTAAAAAAACAAAAACACTCATCCAAAGTCAAGGTGAATGTCAGAGACTTTACTAACGGTTTAGGAAATTGGAAAGTGCTCACATTTTGAACAATTGAACTCACATATTAGACATTTATCCCCATTCTAAAAATTTTGTCCAACTATTAAATAGTTTAGCCATACTCTTTCTCCTCCTCTTTCTCCTTTCCTGTTCTTTCCCTCACTCCCAAATTCCTGTATAATTTCCTATATCTTTATTCCCAACTCCTGTTGTTCATTCCCCTTGGGTCTTCTACCAATATTTTTTCAAGGTATTTTCATAAACAGAACCTAAGAGGACTTCTGGAGCCAATTGTAAACATGATCATATTCTCACTAGCATATACTTATACAGAGGGTTGTCAGAGACTTTCTTTCTAACCACGTCACCTCAGCCACCATCTTCACTTAAAACTGAGCTCTCTTATTCCAGGGGTGATGGCTAGTATGCCAGCTGTGATATTTCTGGTGGCCAGTATTACAAGAAAACTGGAAAAAGAGACAGCATCACATGTTGGACTAAATACAGAAAATAAGGTCATGGTGTGTGGGGTAGGGGGTGCAGATAGCGGAGCATGAGGTATTTTGCTGTAATCAACTAATAGTTATTGAACATTTATTTGTTAAGTCTCTTCAGTAAAAGCATTCAGGGAAAAAAAAAAATCTCGCACATGACCCCATGGTTCTATCAGGGATTAACACTCCTAGACTATTAACAAAGTCTAATTTGTCCTACCCAGGCTGAATGGAGAGAAGAGGTGAAAAAACACTTTGAGAAGATCAAAAGTGAGGGAACCTGTATACACCGATTAGATGAAGAACTGATTCGGAGGCGCAGAGAAGAGCTCAGGTTCGCTGCTCTGTCCTTCCCCATCTCTTCTTGTCCCTAGATCTTCAGATACTGGCAGGAACTCTCCTTGTGACTCACCATTTCGCCTCGTACACACCTTTCACCTGTGCTACTTACTGTTAATTCTCTTTAAAAGTTAGCTGTCCTTGGGGCGCCTGGGTGGCGCAGTCGGTTGAGCGTCCGACTTCAGCCAGGTCACGATCTCGCGGTCCGTGAGTTCGAGGCCCGCGTCAGGCTCTGGGCTGATGGCTCAGAGCCTGGAGCCTGTTTCCGATTCTGTGTCTCCCTCTCTCTCTGCCCCTCCCCCATTCATGCTCTGTCTCTCTCTGTCCCAAAAATAAATAAACGTTGAAAATAAATAAATAAATAAATAAAAAAAAGTAAAATAAAAGTTAGCTGTCCTTTGTACTGCTGTTCTGTCTTCTCTCTGCAATCTTGTTATCCTCCTTTATTATATCTCTGCAGCAAACACTCTTGGAGTAATGCTCTTTCTTCATTCAGTGCCTGTCCTAGGTGACCTGGAAGGCAGCACTTTATAAGACGTAGCGCCTGGTCTCAAGGTGCTTATGATCAATGAAGAGGTACAAGACACAGTCATAGATAGCCACTGGATTAGGCAAGATCTGTACCACAGATAAGTACAAGGTCATGGGGTCAGCCTTGATTGCATATTCCCATTAACATATAGTATTCTTATTAAGATACCATCAGCACTGCACAAAGGCTACAAATTATACACAAATCACATTCAGATTTTATCTGTGGCCCTCCTGGCTATTCTGTATAGCTGGATGTGACCCCTAAGGATAAACCAAGTGAAAGCTTGGGTTTCCCATCCCCCACTCCAACTTGTCAGAGTCATTACATCAAAAAGAGCATCCTTAAATTTAGATGACACTCAGAACAATGCTTTTTTTTTTTTTTTATGTTTATTTTTGAGAGAGAGACAGAGTGCGAGCCAGGAAGGGGCAGAGAGAGAAGGAGACACAGAATCTGAAGCAGGCTCCAGACTCTGAGCTGTCAGCGCAGAGCCCAACACAGGGCTCGAACCTGTGAACCGCAAGATCATGACCTGAGCTGAAGTCAGATGCCTAACCAACTAAGTCACTCAGGGGCCCCACACCAATGTTTTTGAGATAAACCATCCTGGTTCTTATTTCATTAGTGTGATTCTTTGTTCTCCCTCAAGGTAGCCAGCTTTGCTGATGCTGTATTTTCTTTGATAGGCATGCTTTGGATATTCGTGAACACTATGAGAGAAAACTTGAGAGGGCTAATAATTTATACATGGAACTGAGTGCCATCATGCTGCAGCTGGAAATGCGGGAGAAGGAGCTCATTAAGTATGTATCCAGACTTCTGTCTGTCCTTACTGAGTTGGGTCTACCAATCAGCAGAAATGTACTGCTCCTCCACACTGATACTACTCAAAACTAAAAATAGCAAATACTTTATTCAATTACCCAACATTCCCTAAGGGATGTGCTGTGCACAGGTCTCTACCCCTGAAGAAGTTTCAGTTGGGTGGAGCTGGTCATAGAGAAATGTGCACTTGATAGCCATTTGCAACTTCACCCTATTGAATGACCCCAAGAAAGAGTCCTCATTTCTAGAAAAGCTTGGTGTGGATGAGTGGGAGCTTTTTGCCCCCCCAGGGAAGTAAGGTGGCTGATGAAAGTGGTTTAAGGTATTCTTGACAAGGACAAGAAAACCTGCTGGTCCTGACCAAAACAGCAACCGAAAATAAGTAGGTCATCTACCGTCGCATTGTGTCTCCCGTGAGGTGTGTTGGGGGAGGGAAGGTCAGCCCCTGAGTCCACCTGAGAGTAGAAGAGCACAGTTAAGTCACATTAGTTGAATTTCATATCTTTTCTCCCCTTTTTAACCTGAATAGTAACCTTGTAATTCAAAGAGCATGTATCTGTTAAGTGTGCCCGGCATCTGTGAGTGGAATTAGCCTGTGAAAACATTCTGCCCGTCTGTCTGCAGTGACTGAGATGTGGCTTTTCCTTTCATTCTGCAGACGTGAGCAAGCAGTAGAAAAGAAGTACCCTGGAACTTACAAACGACACCCCGTCCGTCCAATAATCCACCCCAACGCCATGGAGAAACTCATGAAGAGGAAAGGTGCGCCTCATAAATCAGGGATGCAGACCAAACGGTGAGACACTGTCCCAACCTGGTATTCAGAGAAATGGGAAAATATCTCCCTAAAAATATATTATCACATCATGGTTGGTGTGTCCACTCCGTAGCTCATCATTGGCACACTTGCCTCTAGATAAAACAGGATGGGAAAGTGAGAGAATGTGTCACAAACTCTAGGAGTCTAGTTTTTACTGCCTGAGGACAGAGATATTTATTGACTTAGCATGGAATAGTGAAAAGAAAAAGCACTGGGGGCCAGACAGACCTAGATTCAAATCCCAGCTCTGCCTCTGATAAACTGCATGATGTGGGTCACGTCACTTGACCTCTGTCAACCCCATAGGTAAAATGGTATAACGATCACACATGAGATTTCTTTTTCTTTTTTTGACCTGTAACACACAGAATTGGGTTCATCATAATTCTTGTTTTATGCAACATTGGTCCATGTATGTCCCACTTTTATTTATTCATTGAGTACTTTTTAATAATGTAGTAAGTGTCTATAAATCTATCACCAAAAACAAAAGGAGGGGCTTTGATAATTACCTATACCCAACCATGTGGGTCCCGTCATTTCTACTCCTGCATGGGACTTCTGTGAAGTTTAAAAAGATAAATGTGAAGAGTTCCTGGGTACCTCAGTCAGATAAGCGTCCGACTTCGGCTCAGGCCATGATCTCATGGTCTGTGAGTTTGAGCCCCACGTCGCTGCTGACGGCTCAGAGCCTGGACCTTGCTTTGGATTCTGTGTCTCCTTTGCTTTCTGCCCCTCCCCACTCACACTCTGTTTCTCAAAAATGAATAAATGTTAAAAAAAAAAGTTTTAAGATAAAATTATAAACCATAGGTGCTAAAAATTAGTTTTTGAATAATTTTTTAAAAGATTGCCTTTTCCACTAATTACAGCACATTTTCCTTGTATTAGTTTAATCTTAGAATGCTCTTCTAGTCAGTTGTTTTATTATCAGGCTCTGCTAGATCCCCATTCCTCCCAAATAATGGAGAGTGGACTCTGTTCCAGCCAAGTAATGTAGAGGAGAGAAATGTCCCTAAACCTGGGGTATAGACCCAATGGTGAGACTTGAGAACAATGCAGTAAGGATCAAAGTAAGGACAAAATTAAAACCAAAAATGTATTTTAAGGCTTTGAGAATGGTGGCCATTCTACCATAGCATGACTAATAGAAATCTAAACTACTAAGGAGTAACTACATGGATTAATTCCAATTTTGCTTTTACTTACCACCCCTGACCACCTTCTAGTCAGTTCTGAGAAACTGTTTGCAGATGGCACCTGGCAAAACCTCTGAAGATCCCAACACCTCTTTGTTTTGCTGTATTAATCAGGGACAGAGTTCACCTTCTGGCTCCTCCCTCCATTCTGCTACAGATAAAACTAAGAGCTTTGGAGGAGAAAATAGTATGAGCTCACGTTTACTTTTAATTTTGGCTATGAGGAATATGTTTGGAAGAGTTTGCCATCATCAGCAGATGCTTAGTCTCCAAGCTAACTGAACTCATCCAGGAAGGCAACCTGGAACAGGTCTTTGAGCTGCAAAGAGTTCTACTTGCCCCTGGAGGATTTCAGTTTCAGATTATTTGGACAGTCCAGTGATTAAGTTAGAAGCCCAGTGACCTCTGAGGAGATCAGAGAGGAAAAACCATCCACCATCTATGGTGTGTCAGTGTGGGTTCATTTGGGGACTAAAAAGGAGAGAATCGGAGTTCAAGTATGGATCCACTAAGCCTATCACAAGTAAGTATAATCCAATACAATAGTCTAAACACCTCATAATAAAGAGAAGCTTGGAATGGGGAAGAGCTATTCCTTAGTGTCAAAAGACTGGGGTTTGAGTTATGAGTCCTGGCATTTAACTTATTTTGTGATGGATACAAGCCAATTAACCTCTAGGATCCCTCAGTGCCATTATCTATAAAATGAATATTGGAAAATGAATCATAGGAAACAAGTGTTTTATACATTATAAAGTGCTTTGTAAATGGTGAAGTGCTGTATCATTGTTATTCTGTGATGTTTGTACTGCTAGGTTCAATAAAAGCAGGCTTCACCTGACTTAGGACACTTATTAATTTTTTTTAACGTTTACTTATTATTGAGAGGCAGAGAGAGACACAGCGTGAGCAGGGGAGGGGTAGAGAGAGAGGGAGACACAGAATCTGAAGCAGGCTCCAGGCTCTGAGCTATTAGCACAGAGCCCGACACAGGGCTCAAACTCACAAACTGTGAGATCATGACCTGAGCCGAAGCTGGTCGCCTAACCAACTGAGCCACCCAGTGCCCCGGGACACTTCTACCTCAGCTCTCTTTTAGGTCCCACCCTGGCCAGTCACTGCATAAGTAGATACCCATAACTGGGCCTTGGATGGCTCTCTTGCCTCAGTAAAAGCCCCAGGACCTCCTCAATTCACATATTTTCTCTGGCACAATTTGGCCAGGTGACCACAGAACCATGAATCTGAGGCAGGAAGACGCTTATAGCAGCACAATACCCTGCCCACATTATTATATACCAGTGTTACCTGGAACCTCTGTTCTAAGATGAGCCTTGAACCGTCCTCCTGAGAAAGAAGAAAAACCCATCTCCTACAACCTGATACCTACTAATTTCTGGTGAGCCCTAGCTATTCAAATGCGGTCCTCAGTTCAGCATCATCTGAGAGTGTGTTAGCTCTTGGGGCGCCTGGGTGGCTCAGTCAGTTGAGCATCCAACTCCTGATTTCTCAGCTCAGGTCATGATCTCACAGTTCATGGATCGAGCCCTGTGTCATGCTCTACACTGTCAGCACATAGCCTACTTGGGATTCGCTCTTTGCCTCTCTCTTTCAGCCCTCCCCTGCTCGTGTGCTCACATTATTAGAAATGCAGACTCTTAGGCCCCAGACCTGACCTATTCAACCATTTTAATAAGCCCCAAGTGATTTGTAGTTACCTTTAAGCTTGTCCTCTGAATCTCTGATAAGCCAGACTGGAAATTAGGAGAAACTTCTTGTCTGGATTTTGCCAGTAATGCACTGTGAGACCATGAGACACTTGGGCTTTGGATTCCTCCTCACATAAGGTGAAGACAGGACTGTGTCTGTGGTTTTCAAGCAACGTCTGGGACACCCCTGGGCCCGCATAGAGGTGTCAGGGATTACTGCAGAAGTAGAGAAGATGAGGAGGGGGAGCCCTGCAGGGAGGGGGTTCTGCTCTGCCACCCCTCTTCAACTGTTCCACTATATCTGGCGGGGCAGGGGGGTGGGGGAGATATACTTGACATAAAACATCATATTAGTTTCAAGTGTACAATGTAACAATTCAATAAACATGTATATATTTTGAAATAATTATCACAGAACTCTAGTTATGTGATCCATTCATCTACATAAATAATTCAGCATAAATAATTACATTTTGGGGGCATGTGGGTGGCTCAATCGGTTAAGTGTCTGACTTCAGCTCGGGTCGTGATCTCACGGTTTGCGGGTTCGAGTCCCGCGTAGGGCTCTGTGCTGACAGCTCAAAGCCTGAAGCCTGCTTCGGATTCTGTGTCTTCCTCTCTCTCTGCCCCTCCTCCACTTGCACTGTGTGTGTGTGTCTCTCTCTCTCAAAAATAAACATTAAAAAAAATTTTTTTTAAATAAATACATTTTTTTCTTGTGATAATAACTTTCAAGATCTCTTAGAGACTTTCAAATATGCAATATTTGAAACAGTTGACCATTGAACAACATGGTTTCCAACAAATGCACTTATATGTGAATGTTTTGCAGCACAGTCCAGTATATGTATTTTCTCTTATGATTTTCTTAACATTTTCTTTTCCCTAGCTCACTTTAAAAATACAGTATATAATACATATAATATACAACATATGTATGAATCCACTATTTATCTTATCAGTAAGACATCTGGTCAACAGCAGGCTATTATTAAGTTTTCTGGAGTCAAAAGTTATGCTTGGATTTTTGACCGTGCATGTTATTCAAAGATCAACTGTATCATTAACTATAGTCTCCATGCTGTACATTACATCCACAGGACTTATCTATTTTATAACCAGAAGTTTGTACCTTTTGGACGCTCTTCACCCATTTCACCCATCTTCTCCTACTCCCCATATCTGGAAACCACTAGTCTGTTCTCTTACTATATCTATTTTATATACTGAATTTCTCATAATTCATTTGAGAAAAAGGTTATGTTGTTTAAAAAAAGTTTGGGTCTTCCTGCTCTGTAATTTGCTGACTTGTGTCTATCTGGTCCCAAAGAAGGAAGGATGTAGTGGTTCTACCTGGTATCCTCAAGTCTCTGCCCATACCCATTCATCAATCAGAAACCAGCTATTGTTTACCTATGCACCCTGGAATCAGTGTGTGTGAGGTTTACCTTCAAGCTCTGGCTTCCTCTTGCACATGCCCTACATGACCAGCCCAGACAGCACTTGAAAACAGGACTGTGAGAGGACCTCCTCCCGTAAGGAGCCAGGACAATGCCAGGTCACTCCTCACTGGCCCTTCTCTTGCTGGGTCTGTTCAACCTCCTAGGCTCCTTACTGTTTCCCCTTCCTCTGGCTCCACCCCTTTCTCAGTCTTCCTTAAACATTTTTGAGTACTGAGTGTGAGCAAGGCTCCCTGCTAATGCCCCTCCCATACAGAGATGGATGGACATAGTCCCAGACCCAGGAGACCATGTCTAAACCAAGATCCTTGAACTTAGCCTCTTGCCTAATTAAATTTTTTTTTTCAACGTTTATTTATTTTTTGGGACAGAGAGAGACAGAGCATGAACGGGGGAGGGGCAGAGAGAGAGGGAGACACAGAATCGGAAACAGGCTCCAGGCTCTGAGCCATCAGCCCAGAGCCCGACGCGGGGCTCGAACTCACGGACCGCGAGATCGTGACCTGGCTGAAGTTGGATGCTTAACCGACTGCGCCACCCAGGCGCCCCTACCTCTTGCCTAATTAATCTGAGGTTTCCTTCTCTTGTATCAGACCCCTGTGATTTGTGATCTTTTGTGGGATCTATCTAGATCCATCATCAGACAGATTTCTAATCATGGGCAACCCCATGCCTGTGCTTTGGCATATTGACACCAGGCTGATAGATGAGATTATAAGGAAGAGATTAAGAAGCTTATAGGGTAGAATTAGAATTTAAAGGGATTGAGTACCTTAGCTAGTGAGGCACAGAATAATATCCAAAAGGAATAAAGGAAATCCTCTATGGGTGAACATCTAAGTTGTTTCTAATTTTCTGGTGTTTTAAACTATGGTATAACATAACATCTTCAGACACGCATCTTCATGCACATCTGTTGTCTCCACTGGATAAATCCCTGCCTATGTGACTGCTGTATCACAGGGTGTGTGTGTATCTTAAGGTTTGGGTTACATTTCCCCTAACTTGAATGTATATTTTCATACGTTTAAAACTCAACCTTTTGTTTGCTCCCAGGCCAGATCTGTTGAGATCTGAAGGTATCCCCAGTATGGAGGTGGCTCCCGCCGCATCCCCTTTGTCTGGAAGTCCCAAAATGTCCACCTCAAGCAGCAAGAGCCGATATCGGAGCAAACCACGCCACCGCCGAGGGAATAGCAGAGGCAGCCATAGTGACTTTGCAGCGATCTTGAAAAACCAGCCGGTGCAAGAAAATTCACCCCATCCCACTTATGTACACCAAGCTCAATCCCAGCACCCTTCTTCCCATCACCATAATCCTCTGCAGCAGCAATACCAGCAATGCCCTCCTGCCGTGCCTCAGAGTCACCACCCCAGACTCAACATGCACGGACAGGACATTGCAACCTGCGCCAACAACCTGAGGTATTTTGGCCCAGCAGCAGCCCTGCGGAGCCCACTCAGCAACCATGCTCAAAGACAGATGCCTGGCTCCAGCCCTGACCTCATCTCCACAGCCATGGCGGCAGATTGCTGGAGAAGTTCTGAGCCTGACGAGGGCCCAGCTGTCCCCTGGGGCTGTTGTCAGGCTGACCCTTATGACCCCTGCCTCCAGTGCAGGCCAGAACGGTGTGGTTCCTTAGACATACCCTCTGCTGAGCCAGTGGGGAGGAGACCCGACCTTTTCAAGTCACCAGCACACAATCCCCTCTCGGAAAATGCCCAGGGTTCTGAGAAAATGGAAGAAAGTGAATTCAAAGGCTGTAGGTCTGCATCATCCCTTGGCATCCCTCATCACGTCACCCCCCCAGTGCTACCTCGAAATACAAGGCCCCTGCAAAAGGTAAGCCGTAATGACAACAGCAGTATGTGCCACTGCCTTAATGGAATGTTAGAGCCTGTTGTGTGGTGCATATTGGAAAACATGTGTAACACGTATCCGTTTTGTAAAAGGATGTGATGGCAGAAGCATAAACAGAAGGGTTTTTTAGCTTAGATGCTCTCTTGCCACACTGCTTAAGTGATAGAGAGAATACACTTTGGGAACTACTGACCCCAGAGGACTGGTTCAAATATATATAAGTTATAAGTAGATAACCAGGGATCTGTAATCAAAACTAGAACTACCCTAGCCTAGTCATGATGGATGTTGCAAGAAGGAAGGTTCCCATTATAAAACAAGTTTGAAAAACAGTATTCTCTGTCCTCCCTTGGAGATTCCTTGTGCACATCAACAAATCCTAGGCTTTAAAAAAATCATACAGGGGCGTCTGGGTGGCTCAGTCGGTTAAGCATTGGGCTTCAGCTCAGGTCATGATCTCACAGTTCAGCTGTTTGAACACCACATCCGGTGAGCTCCAGCCCCGCTTTGGGTGAGCATGTGTCCCACTTCGGGTGAGCTGGAACCCTGCATCAGCTGACCCCTGCTTCTCTCTCTCACCCTCTTCTTCCTCCCTCTCTGCCCCTTATGGAATTCTCTCTCTCTCCCTCTCTCTCTGCCCCTCATTCACTTGTACCCTCTCTCTGGAAAAAAAAAAAAAATCATACTGTACCTTGTTTAATCCGGCATTTTCCTCACCTAGTTGGCCATAATGGCTTTAAAAATAACATCTATTAATATCCCATGGAACTAGCCTTCTTCATAATATATTTTGGAGGAGTGTTTGCCTGGCTCAGTTGGTAGAGCATGTATGTGACTCTTGAACTTAGGGTCATGAGTTCAAGTCCCACGTTAGTTGTGGAGCCTACTTAAGAAAAAATAAAATATTAAGAAAAATAGTATATTTTGGAAAGCCCTGCCTTTATTAATAACCATCATGACCCAGCGAGTTCTTTGTCATTCGAACCTGTTCTTCTCCTCCTCACCCACTAGATGCCTAGGGTTCATTAGCTTGGAGGCAGTCTACCATAGTGGTTAACAGCATGAGCCTGGGAGCCAGATAGATATGAGTTCTAAGCAAGGCTCTTACATTTAGAACCTCTATGCTGCCCTTGTCTATAAATGGGGCAAATACTGGCCCCTGCCTCACTGGCTGATGTGGATTAAATGGGTTAATACATATAAAGCATTTTGAACAGGGCCTGGAACATAACAATCTTCCAAAAATGTTAGCTCATTTTGCTAATGAGTTAAAAATAAGATTATGTATGAAAAGTATTTAGCACAGGGCAGATACCCACTCAGTCCTTCAGTAATGCTTCACTTCAGCAACACTCAGCAGGAGCTCAGGTGAAGGAATGAAAGGGTCTAAAATGTAAATGAGCTTGTTTTGGTCAACTAGACATTTAAAAGAAGTTGACATATAATTCAGAATGACTAGAATCAGGGATGCCTGGGTGGCTCAGTTGGTTAAGCATCTGACTTCAGCTCAGGTCATGATCTCACAGTTTGTGGGTTCGAGCCTCATGTCAGGCTCTATGCTGACAACATGAAGCCTGGAGACTGCTTCAGATTCTGTCATCCCCTTTTTTTCTGCCCCCCCCACGCCCACTCTGTGTGTGTGTGTCTCTCTCTCAAAAATAAGTAAACATTAAATAAAAAAAGAATGACTAGCATCAAGAAGATAAGAAATAACAAGTTGGAGAGGATGTGGAAAAAAGGGAACTCATGTGTAGTGTTGGTGGGAATGTCAACTCGTGCAGCCACTATGATAAACAGTATGGAGGTTCCTCAAAATATTAAAAATAGAACCACCCTATGACCTAGTAACTTCACTTCTGGGTATTTACCCAAAGAAAACAAAAGCACTAATTAGAAAAAATATGTGCACCCTTGTGTTTATTGCAGTATTGTTTACAATGGCCAAGATATGGAAATAACCTGAGTGTCCATCAATGGGTGAATGGATAAAGAAGATATGGTGTGTGTGTGTGTGCGCACTTATACACACACACACACACAACACACACTTACATACATACATATATTCATACATACATACAATGGGATATACTCAGACATAAAAAAAGAATGAAATTGGGGCGCCTGGGTGGCGCAGTCGGTTGAGCGTCCGACTTCAGCCAGGTCACGATCTTGCGGTCCGTGAGTTCGAGCCCCGCGTCGGGCTCTGGGCTGATGGCTCAGAGCCTGGAGCCTGTTTCCGATTCTGTGTCTCCCTCTCTCTCTGCCCCTCGCCCGTTCATGCTCTGTCTCTCTCTGTCCCAAAAATAAATAATAAAACGTTGAAAAAAAATTTTTAAAAAAAGAATGAAATCTTGCCAATTGTGACAACATGGATGGACCTAAAGGGTATTATGCTAAGTGAAATAAGTCAGACATAAAGAGACAGATACCATATCATTCACTTATGTGTGGAATCTAAAAAACAAATGAGCAAAGAAGAAATAGATTCATAAATGTGGAGAACAAACTAGTGGTTGCCAAAGGGGTGGGGGTGGGGGAATGGGTGAAATAGGTAAAGGGGGTTAAGAGGTTCGGACTTCCAGTTATAAAATAAATAGGTCACAAGAGATGAAGAGTAAAGCATAGGAAATATAGTCAATAATACTGTAATAACTTTGTAAGGTGACCTATGCTAACTATACTTGTTTTGGCAAGCATAGCATAATATATGCACTTGTTGAATCACTATGTTACACACCTGGAACTTATATAAAAATTAATTACACTTCAATTTAAAAAAAAAGAAGTTGAAGCTGAGGGCTACTATCTCAGAACTGTATTTCTTCTCCCGAGTGCTTCTCCCGAGTGACTAAGCATTCCCAGAGATTAAGTTGTGTTTTGGGTGCTCTTACTCCCTATATGGCCAGTAACATGTATTTTTTTCAGTAACAACTTTATTGAGATATAATGTACATACCGTAAAGCTCTCCTATTAAGTGTACAACTCAGTGCTTTTATTCATAGCTATGCAGTCACCACCACAACCAATTTTAGAATATTTTCATCATCCCATAAACAAACCCAGCACCCTTTAGCAGTCACCCCAGTCCCCTCCCAAGTAACATGTACCTTTGAGCCATTCTGATGCCATTTTGATGCATTCTTTGGGCCCACGGGCCAGGAAACACACACCCCATACATTTGGCCTCCCTGGAACAGCACTCCCACAGGACAGTTCAACTTCTCTCGACCGGGATACACTTCCAAGGTATGCCTAGGGTAAATGCTCATCTCGGCAGTCAGTATAACCCCATGCCTGTCTTTACTACTCAAAAAGGCATATCAGAATACAAATTGGTAAGAGTGATAGTATATTAAAACTGACTTTAAGGGGCACCTGGGTGGCTCCTTTGGTTAAGCGTCCGACTTCAGCTCAGGTCATGATCTCACAGTCTGTGAGTTCGAGCCCCACATCAGGCTCTGTGCTGACAGCTCAGAGCCTGGAGCCTGCTTCAGATTCTGTGTCTCCCTCTCTCTATGCCCCTTCCCCACTTATGCTCTGTCACTCTCTATCTCCAAAATAAATAAAAACATTTTTTAAAATGTTTTTTAAAAACCTGACTTTAAAAGTAAATTATCTTCAAACTTTGGTACGATTACTTGGGCCCAGTTACCCACCTTGCAAGGGGTGATAGTAATCCAGTGCATCATGATTCTGTGGGTAAGGACAGCTGATTTTAAGTGTGACTGTTCTTATGTCCTCAAAGAGAAATGGACTCTTCCTGTGAAGGAAGATCATCTTCTCAGGACACTTACCCAGACTTCCAGATGAACCACAGAGCCCTAGCAATCACGAGGCCTCAGATGTCCCAAGCAGAGCTCCCTTATCCTGGCCAATATGCGGGCTCAATAATGCACTGAGCACCTGTTTAGTGCAGTGTATGCAGTGTTGTATTCATGGTGGAATAAGAAATACAATACAAGATATGGCCTGACCCTCAAATAATGTATGCCTTAGTAGTGCAAATGATATAAGCATAGTAACTATAATATTAGTGAAAAGGTGACTGGTGACATAAAAGGGGGAAAGTAGTTGTTAGGTTTTGAAGAATTGAAAGATCACTTCTTGGTGGAGTCCCTGTGTCAGGGCCTGGAACCATGAATAACAATAATTACAAGGCTGCCCCCAAATCCAGACCTTGTCTCTAGTTTCCCCTCCTCATCGCTCACCTTGGACAGTCTCATGGAGTCCTCACCTACCTGAGGGCAAGGCTCACATTTACTCAGGTCTGTGTGTCTTCCAGCAAAGAGCACAGACCCAGTCATCATGGACACTGAGGAAAAGTTGCTGAATGAATAAAGGAAAACATATATGTTTAAAGATGACATTCAGCAAACTACTATTCAATGCCTTTTTATTATAATTAAATCTTTTATATGGAGTGTGTGTGTGTATGTGTGTGTATGAGAGAGAGAGAGAGAGAGAGAGAGAGAGACAGATTGAGGTAAAACTCTCCCCTTGTTCTCCTCAGAGTGGAGATGACTCCTCAGAAGAAGAAGAAGGGGAAGTAGATAGTGAAGTTGAATTTCCACGAAGACAGAGGTAAAACCAATAAACACCTGTGACTGCTTTCATTGTAATGGGGAAAACCCTGAGTTTGCCATACCTCCTGTTCAGTCACAGATCACCTTCGAACAACCACCTTGCAGGGAGATTTGAACTCACAATTCTTCCTTTCCCATTGCCACATTTTGGCGGCTGGCTATGCACAGCAGATTCTAGTTCATCAGAATTCATTTCTTAGGAGCTTCAAGATGAGGAGTATAAATATGGATTCAATGTGCATTTGAGAATGTAGTGGGAATTTTATGAGAGATGGCCATGCTGTTTTGTGGATAATATCATTGGTTTCTGGTGTACCTCCTTTTATTAGTCTCTTGGGCTGCTATAACAAAATACCACAGGCTGGGTGGCTTAAACAATGGGAATTTATCTTTCACGGTTCTGGAGGCTGGGAAGTCCCAGATCAAGGTTCCTGGTGAGGACTCTCTTCCTAGGTTGCAGACAGCAGCCTTCTTGCTGTGTCCTTACAGGGTTGAGGTGGGGGAGTATGGGACAGAGAAGGTGGAGAAGGGAATGAAGGGAAGGTAAAATATCTTCCTCTTATAAGATCACAGTCCCATGGGATTTTGGACCTGCGCTTATGATCTCATTTAACCTTAATTATCTCCTAGGAGCCTATCTCCAGATTCAGTCACACTGGGGTAGGGCTTCAATATACAAATTGGGGTGGAGGTGGGAGGGAACACAGTTCAGCCCATAGCACTCTCCATGCCTTGGATTTTATGCCTGAAGTTAAGTATAATTAATTAGGTTGAGTCCTCCTTCAACCCAGCCTTAAAAATAGCTTCGTGCTTAGCCAGAAATAGTCGTTGTAAATTAAAGAAGTACTACATCCCCCTACTTGTAGAAAAGAGCTGCCCTTATGTAGGAGTGGGGAAGGTAGTTTTCCTCCAATAAAGCCTTTTCTGCAATTAGGCATTCTGTTCTTGAAGAATATGGCTCTAAGAATCTGCCAGAAAGGTTTGTGTACCTGCCCAGAAACAGGAATTCTCTGCAAACCAAGGGATTCCTTTGGTAAATTGTATTCTGGGTCCCAACGCTGTACAAAGAATTGAAATCTGTTCTCATCCCCTGAGCTATTCCTGCCACATTGCTATTGCTGCCTTATTGCCTCCTTGGTTTCTCCTATGCAGTGAGATTGAATCTGAGTAAAATGTCTTTTCGTTCTCTGAACTCACTCTACCGACATCACAATTACGTGACTCCCAGCTTTGTTCCCATGACACACCATACACTCAGCCCACCTAATGGCTTCCCGCCTTTCTTGTTGGCCATGATGCAAATTATATGTATGTTTTTACTGCATGGTTTTCCTTTTTATAACATTTTGCTCCCTATCTCTTTTCTGGATTCCTAGCCTTGAGATGTTGTGTAAGTCCTACTTTAATTTCCTTCTCCCACAGGCTCTTTTCAGGTGTCCTTGGTCCCCCCAGCCTTGCAGCCTATCACCTGACCTTGTCATTGGCGAGGCTCAGATCGTATGCCATCAAAATCACTTTGTACTAAGAGATACAGAAAGATCTGACAATGACAGAGGAAAAAGTCAGTCTTCTTTTTATTATTTGTTTTCTTTTGAAACCAAAGTGAACTAACAGCATTCTTATTTGCTAGGCTACTTATAAACAATGGGGAAAAACTGAAGAACTTTTGCAAATTCTCCCTCTGCTCCCCACCCCCTGCAGATTTTGCCTCATCTGTGCTAAACCCACATGTTAACAGGAATCAGTCATTAGCTGACTCAGCAGTGGCCATAGCTGCAGAGGGAACGTTCCTTCCAAGCTCATCTGCACTGGGGGTTGGCTGACAGGGTGGACACACGTGGCCTTCCACAGCCGCCATGCCCAGTGGGAAATGCAGCTGGTAGAGAATGACACTGAGCAGGGTATGCGTAGACCCGGCCCAAGCTGCAGCTCTGCCTTCTCTGATGGTGTGGCCTGGAACAAGTCACTTTCCTTGTCTGGCTCCAGTGTTATGGCCTGAGAAATGAGTTAGACCAAAGAATCTCTCAAGACTCGTTTACCTGTAAGAATCTGGGAGGTCTGTGTATAAGCAGCTGAATTTCAGTTTGAACTTTTCCATACCATGCATGCGTGTACACAACTGTGATCTGCTGAGTGATCTGTGATCTGTGAGCTGCTGAGTTTCTCAAAGACCAGTAGTAGCCATCAACAGTGGAGTGTACTGTTTAGCCACATAAACATACAAACCAAATGAACAGGAAATGCAAATTTCCTTCTCGTTTGCTTTAAAATGTAATAGTGTTGGCTCCATAGCTCAGGGGTTAGAGCACTGGTCTTAAAAAATTTAATAGTGTCTATCCACCTGGAGTTTCGAGTCTTCCTCGGGGGCAGGGAGAAACCTAGAAAACCTCTCACCAAGGCTATGGTCTAAGAACAGTAGTTGTTCCCGTGATTAAGTTCCTCTGGTTTTTTGTGGTTCTAGGCCCCATCGCTGTATCAGCAGCTGCCAGTCGTATTCAACCTTTAGCTCTGAGAATTTCTCTGTGTCTGATGGAGAGGAGGGAAATACCAGCGACCACTCCAACAGTCCTGATGAGTTAGCGGATAAACTGGAAGACCGCCTGGCCGAGAAGCTAGATGACCTGCTGTCCCAGACGCCAGAGATCCCCATTGAGATATCCTCGCATTCAGATGGGCTCTCTGACAAGGAGTGCGCCGTGCGCCGCGTGAAGACGCAGATGTCTCTGGGCAAGCTGTGTGCGGAGGAACGTGGCTACGAGGTGGGGCTTCTCCTCCCTTCTCCTCTGATCTCTATAGCTCTTTGGGTTTAGAGCATGCTCAAGTCATTTAGGGTATAAGATAAAACAACTGCCTCCTGGAAGTAAGTAGAAGTGCAGAGATCCACAGAGCTCCCTGAAATAAAGGCAGTTCTCCTAAATGAGGCACAAACATCGAACTGCTCGGGCATCCTTTCTTCTAAGATTTAACTCAAACATCTCCTTCTCCTGACCCCATCTCCCTTGTGGTTAAGGGTACGAGCCTCCCCTCTCCATGTCCCCTGGATGATGCTCTCATAGCACAGGGAACACTTCAATGCCTGTCCAGTGCTGCCTTTGAAGGCAGGATAGCATAGTGGTTGTAAGTTTACACCTGGAATCTGACTGCCTAGATGCCAATCCCAGCCTGAGTTCTCTACTGACTGACCGCAGCATTGGGCAAGCTACTAACCTCCCTGTAGGTCAGTTTCCTTATCCGTAAAGTGGGAGTGATTAACAGCACTTATCTCCTAGGGTGCTTGTGAGGATTAAATGAATTTCTAGATGAAAACCACTTACAGCAGTGCCTGGCACATAGTGAACACTATGTAAATGGGGCTGAGGTGGTATTGCTATAATTGCTATCATCATCGACATCATTTTTTTTCTTCCAAGATTTTCCTTAAATTCCAGTTAGTTAACATATAGTATAGTAGTGTAGTATTGGTTTCAGGAGTAGAATTTAGTGGTTCATCTCTTACATACAACACCCAGTGCTCATCCCAACAAGTGCCCTCCTTAGAGCCCATCACCCATTTGGCCCATCCCCCACCCACCTCCCTCCAGCAACCCTCAGTTTGCTCCCTGTCGTTAAGAGCCTCTTATGGTTTGCCTCCCTCTCCATTTTTATCTTATTTTATTTTTCCTTCCCTTCCCCTTGTTCATCTGTTTTGTTTCTTAAATTCCACATAGAAGGCCATGTCATGTTTATATGTCTTCTCTCTCCAGAAGCCCTGCAAGGACAGGACCTGGTCTCATGTATCATAGCCAGCAACCCAGCACAGTGCCTGTCCTCTGGGAAGCGTTCCATACATGTTTACTAAGTGGTTTCCCAAACAAATTAAGGTTTTCTTTTGTCTCGACTTTGCAGAATCCTATGCAGTTTGAAGAATCGGACTGTGACTCTTCAGATGGAGAGTGTTCTGATGCCACAGTCAGGACCAATAAACACTACAACTCTGCTACTTGGTAATGAAAGAAAACCCATCCTGAAGATATCATGACTATACTGGCATTTCAGATCCTTCCCACCCCCAGACTCTTCCCACTCTCTCCCTGCTTTTTCGTCTGGGAAGAGAGCTGCCTCCTCTTTCTTACCCCTAGAAATGAGCTGCAATAACAGGAACATGAGACTTCGCAAATCTCTTGGAAAAAAATATCCAAATGAAATTAAGTCTCACTGAACATTTCAATCAAGAATGGCAGGGATCTATTTTATTGAATATTCTAGCTACTGTAACATTGATATTTATTTTTGTTTGACATTTTAACACTTTGTACTGTAAAGAGTGAACTATATATAATATAGAGAGAGACACAATAATTTCTTGCAAAAAGAGAGAGAGAGAAAGAGAGAGAGAGAGATAAAGGAAGAAAGAAAAGAAAGAAAGAAGTGGAATTTAGGAGCAACATCGTTGGTAATTTGTGGGGCCAGGAGATATTATTGCTACTTGAACAGGGGACCAGTTCTTTTGGCCATAAGAGACGAAGAAGAGCCAGAGCAAGACATACTGATTATTTTAGAAAACAAAGAAAAGCAATTCCAGGTAACTTGTCAACAGACCACATTAAGTTCAACCAGCTTGCCCACATGGGTGATGGAAATGATCTCGAAGAGACTGATGACCAGATACTTGCACCCAAGGTCCTTGAGGGCATGTGCTTCCTCTAGGAGGAAAAAAGACAACTACACATCTGGAAGCTGATTTCATTTCAAGAACTTGAAGCAGCATTTGGTAGTGAGACTTACAGATAGCATCAAGCCTTGTCTTTGACAAATGCTTCCCTTTTTAATGCTGTCATTGTCATTACCTTGACAAATGTGTTACCTTGACCAACGTGTTGATTTTTCAGACTCAAGTGCCATTTTCTTATAGCCTATTTCCTTTCCACCTGTTGACCACTTCCTTTAGGGAAAAAGGCAGGGGGTGCCAAAAAGAGAAAAAGGAAATTTACAACAGTATTAGAAAAGCAAATGTGGAATTTGTGAAAGTGCATTCTCACAATGTCTCAGTTCAGCTACGTGAAGAAGATCAGATCACCCCTCTGTGGAACCAGGTTACTTGTCTACTAGAGTCATATTGATTCAAACAGAACAGACTTTGAAGGCAGCTAGCATGTGTGTGAGTCTGTCCAAAGTCCAATCCCGAACCACCCCCTTGTTTTTATTCATTAACTCATTCTATCTGGGAAGCTTTAGTGCCTGGCTACCACTATCAGGATAAAGGCAGCATAAGCAACTTGTAAAAGTCAACCCCTCCCACATTACAATAGCATTTTTGTTAAACGCAACTGGTAAAGTGTATTTTACTGCACTTTGGATCAATGCAGTTGGAAATAATTGAATCTGGAAATTTATAGAAAGAACAACTGATGCTGAGCAGCAATTAGAGAGATTTTACATTGTCCAAGACCTGAGGTCCTGGCTTGTCTCTGGGGTCACGGTCTTTGAAAAGCATCCCAAGGAATTTCATCATGCCTCAGCTTCAAGGAAATTTTTATCTAGAATTTTATATAAAAACGGGTGTTGGCCTAGTTTCCATCTCTGTCTCCAAGATAGGTTACTGTCAAACAACCTCTCTAGGCTCAAGACCTGAAGAACATGGCTTGACTCTTCGACACTGCATCACATTGGACATTAGGAAAGACTTACACATTACAGGTATTAAACTATTTCCAACAAAGATGAAAACGTTGCCCTCCGCTGGGGGTCGCCGATTGCATCAGCCAAAAAGGAAAGGTGGAGGGAATTTAGAGCACTTCCTTTGCTTGTCTGATCCCTCCATGTGTTTACACTTTATGTTGAGTCGTTGATTTAAAATTTAGTGTCTATAATTTATAGCTCTTAGGTAAGATGAAGGAAAATGTTTAACTTATACAGAGAGCAGTATTGTTTGCATTAAATTATTCCATTTTGTATAAATTCTGTAGCTGGACTACATGAAAGATCTTAAGTTATGGCATTATTATCATTGTTATTTTGTTTTATAATAATTATCATTCTCATTTTCTGTCGATCAGAAGGTGTGGCTTTACAGTGTAGCACAATGATTGTGTTTATTGCTAACCATGAATAATTATGGGTTTTTATGATTTTTATGAAGGAATGAAAATGGAACTGCCATTTGGGAGCTCCCTGGTATTCATGTTAGTTGTATTCCCTCATTTTCTGTGTGCAACAACAATCATCTGAGGATGCGGGTTCTGCCCTGGAGGCCAGTGGATGCACTGTGGCTTTGACTTGATCCTGAAAGCTCCCGGGTGGGCAGATGACTGAGTGAATGGACAAATACTTCAGAAGCTGTAAACTTTCTCAAGTTTCTTAAGAAATAAAATCATGGGACTACATTAGAGGCAAAAAGAGAATTATTTAGTCCCCTGGGAGGAGCCGACCTAGGGAGTTGCTGCCCGGGGCCCATGGGTTAGGCAGATTCAAGAGCGGGCAGCACAGTTTGTCATCTCCTTCTTTCCAGGTCCCATAGTACCAACTTTTTATTTCTCCTGGCTGGGAGTAGCAGGGAAACATAAAAAGAAACAAGCAAACAAAAAGAATATGTATATCATGACATTGACATAAAATGCCTAGCTATGATGTCATCCCGTAATAAGACTAGAGGCATTCTAGAAGGAGGCCTACTCACTTAGAGGGTGATTGGGCCGGAAAAGTACCTTAAAAGGCCATATTTTCCATCCTTGGACTTCAGACCACACTCAACTGTGAATCTCTCTGGTTCATTTCTTCTGGGAACTGAGAGTTCATCTCTTGAGACTTCAGACCACACTAAACTATGAATCTCTCTGGTTCATTTTTTCTGGGAACAAGTCAATGTCCCCTTTCTCTCCACCATAAAACACACTTTAGCTCGTCCAGTTCTTGCCCACCTATAGTGGCAAAAGGAAACAGGAGGGTCGGCTTCTGTCTTACATCTTTTAGTGATGGTCTTCCTCGAAAACCCACACCTGATACCTCATAACTTTGATGTTTTTTGAATTCCCAAATATGATAATGCCATATACCTATCTGGGTTAACTGTTATAAGCATGTTAGGGTAGTAGACAGTGTTGAATCATGAGTCATTCACTGTATTGTTGAGAGTTGAATAAAGCTCCACATTGAACCCTTTTATTTATTTATTTATTTATTAGTAGAAGTGACGAGAGGCTTCAGAAAAGTCTAGGTTAAAAATAGTCTAGGTTAATGGGGGCGCCTGGGGGCGCAGTCGGTTAAGCGTCCGACTTCAGCCAGATCACGATCTCGCGGTCCGTGAGTTCGAGCCCCGCGTCAGGCTCTGGGCTGATGGCTCAGAGCCTGGAGCCTGTTTCCGATTCTGTGTCTCCCTCTCTCTCTGCCCCTCCCCCATTCATGCTCTGTCTCTCTCTGTCCCAAAAATAAATAAACGTTGAAAAAAAAAATTTTTTTTTTAAATAGTCTAGGTTAAAAAGAGAAATGCCTTCTCTATCCCAGCCTTGCCCTTCACTGCCTGCCTTGAGCTAACCAGGACAATTTTGAATCCGTGTGTGTTTCTTGGAGAACAGCTCCACATCCTCTGAGGAGTGCTGAATCTAAGAGCTCAGGAAATTGAAGAGCTGATCCTTCAGTCCTGAGGACTGTGCCACAATGCTTTAAGGAACCTCACAAGACTGTGATTTCAAGCTTCATTGTTGATGGAAAGCTTAACCCCCTTGGGATCAGTGTCCACATTCATTTAGCGTCTGTTTTTGACTGACTACAAGATAACGAGTTTTAATCTGTGTTGCAGATGAACATTGGTTCTGATTTTCATCTATTTCTAGAGCATGTCCTCTGGTAACAATTCCTATTAAAATTGCTTTGCAGAGGGACTGAGAAGCCAACTTCCTTTGAAATCATAATAGACCTTACTGCCACTGAAGTTTAGACCTGTTTGCAAGATTGGGGGAGCTCCTACTCAAAAAGGATTTGGTACAGCCTACTTGAAGTTCAGATATTTAAAACTTTAGTACCAACAAACCATCCTTCTACAATTAAGGATATTTTAGTAGGACGTACTAAGTACTGGACATATATTTCAGGGCCTCATTGTGCTAAATTTCCCTCTTACTCTAAGTAATAGATACGATGATTTGGGATTTTCCGGGTACCAACCCAATTTTAAATGCCCTCCCCTACTGTGAAGCCCTGACACATCCTTTCCATGTGAATGCATCCTCACTGATCAACTAATTTACTTTTTTATCCCCATGCCTTTTTGTCTCAAGTGTTCCCCCTTTTCGTAAAATGTTCCGACTTCCTGGAACCGAATTCTCTAGAATAGAACATACTTGGAATGCAAGGGATTCCTGCCTTGCTCTGCAGTACAGTTTGCTGTTTTGTTTTTCCACGAAACCAGAAGCCAATATACTACCACATACCACCACCTATCACCTCCACCCTAACACCCAAGACTGATGTTATTTATTGATCGCCATATTCCTTCCCGCCCAGCCCGGACACGGCCTCAGAACCTCTCATAACACAGCACTTGGAGAAACAATGACAGCTTGATTGCAAAAGGGGACATCTATTTCAGCATCCCAACTCGAACCTCACAATTAATTTTCTCAAGGTGGTTTGAGATCTTGAGTTAGCCCTGAAGGGAGAAGGACAGGACCACACCAGTGTTCTCCTTTTGGAGCCCACCCTGTGGCTGTGGAGGTCGGCACCACTGGCAGGAAAAAGGCCACTTGCTTCCACCCACCGCCCTTTTGGACTACAATTCCAATTGAATAATTTCCAGTCACTGATGGATTGAATTCCAAAGTGTCTCTTCATTTACGTCATTTCATTGTGTTAAATAGGCATGTTCCTCCCTCCCCTTCTATAAACAGAAAGCTAAAGTTAGGTCCCAGTTACCTGCTTCTTTCTTAGACTCTGTGAGGCTAATGTATCAAAACAGTGTGATATTCTTCTTAAGACTTTGACTTGTACTGTCAGTATGAATTTAGTGCCTTTCCAGGCAGCAAGATTTTTCTTCTTTGCTGATTTCATAGAATAAATGTCCTACTTACTATACTCGTATCACCAATGTTACCAACCTCACAGACTAGCATGTAAGAATTACATTAGTCTGTTTGCATGTTGCAGCCAGTACTGCAAGCGCCTATTCAAACTGGAATGAAGTAGGTTGCCAAGTGGAAGAGCCTTCTGGAACCTGGAACATTTCTCAGGGACAGGTGGCACAAGAGGGGAGCTCTGAAAGCACTGCTCTGAAAAACAGGGTTACCCCAAAGGAGTTGGACTAAAGCTTTTGTTAACTTGTCACATGACCAGAACATGATGGCAGGATTTCGTAGAGACAAGCCCCTAGGCAGATGGAAGGCCACTGTAAGAAAACTTTCAGCAGACCCCCGACCCCCAGGCTTACTCTCTGGAGCCACTTCACCACACTCGGGAATGCTGCCTCCTGGCCCCAGGCTGTTGCCCAGTGACCTGACAGACGGGGTCCTCCAATGGTCATACACAGAGGGACCCCGCAGCCAGAATGTGCAAGCTCTTAGGAAGATAGCTTTTTTTTTTTTTTCACAATTTTTTTTTTAACCTTATTTATTTTGACAGAGCAGGGGAGGGGCAGAGAAGGAGAGACAGAGGGAGAAAAATCCCAAGCAGGCTCCACACTGTCAGCACAGAGCCCAATATGGGGCTCAAACTCAGGAACTGTGAGATCATGACCTGAGCCGAAGTCCAGAGTCAGATGCTTAACCGAGCCACCAAGGTGCCCCAAGAAGATATCCCTTATTGACCATATCATCTGAGTGGCTTTCCACCTCCAGTGCCCTCTTGTCAGACTCTGGAAGTGGGAAGACCCACTCTGATTCTTTATTGCAATAATTTGAGTTCCTATCAATTTGGAGCAAATTCTTTTTTGGGGTTAAGTCTCAAAATGAGCTTCCTCATCTGTCTCCCTGGACCTCCAGTACCATCAGTCCCCTGCTCCCTGTGGTTTCTGATGCCAGCTCCATTTGTACTGAATAATTGTACACTGATGGGAACAAGAGCGACTATCGAAGCAAACCAATGCATGGAATTAAACAAAAAGCGTGCTTCACTCCTTTCTGGTCCTGTCTTTTCCTAAGGTCCTGTTTGTGTCCCGAAAGCTGCCTTCACAGGTCTCAGCACTTGTCAGAGCTGTAGGGAAAGGAAAACTTCACATGCAGGGTGGCCTGCAGCCAGGAAAGCCGGGTGTGGAGAAGGTTTCTGTGGCTGTGGTTTCAGACACACCTACAGAAGGAGGGGACAACCATCCCTCTCTTTCCTTAATAGTTTCCTCTTCATGGTGGACACGTGCCCTTCTTCTTTCCCATGGCCTTCCTGCTGCCCATCTTGTAGCTACTCTTCATTAGTGACTCCACTATAAAGTAAGTGTAGAGAAGGAAAAGGTGAAAATGAAAATCTGGCTTCTAAGGAATCATACTGGTAAGAAGCCTCCTGAGAGTGATGCTAAAACACCATTTTGGATTGTTTGATTTTCAGCCAATCCTGATTCCCGCTGGCAAGGGGAACTGAACGTGAGCAACATGTACAACACACCCCATAAAGAATGTTTATATCCATTTATTTGGGAAATTGCTTTGCCTGTAAACTCACAACTGGTAAGGCACAGTGTAGCAAAATCATGAGGCGAGAGGGAGTGAGACAAACATAAGGATCTTGATAAAGGGCACACACTTGCAGTCGTGTAGAAAACATACTGGCTTCCCCTTGCCTCCTGCTCCTCCAGAACACAAAGAGCCACAGATTTCACACAGCCTTCTCCTCACCCCCGCTCCTGTAAGCATGCTTCTTCTAAAGCAATATGCCTTTAAAAATGAAGTCCTTGTCATGTTTTTTGGATCATACCCTGTCCAAAAAACACTGCTTAGGAATTCATTCTTCCTCCTGAACAGGAGTATTCTCAAGAATTCATGCAGAACACGTGGCTTGAGGGAAAGCCTTGGCAAGATTCTTGGCCGCACCAAATCAAAACCCAGCAGAGGATGCCCAACAGCAACGGTTCTGGTAAGAAATGGCGAGTTAGTCCTGTACGGTACAGGATCCCAGAGATGGTCAGTGTAGGTGCCAAGGTCCTGCTGTACTTGGAAGCATTAACCCAGGTCTGTGCCAGTTCAGTACTGCAGTTGTAAGCAGCAGCAGCAGCTACAGATCATTAAAAATACAACACAACACAGTAATCCAAAACCAAGTTCTCCCCCTTGGATTAAAAGATAAAATAGAATTACTCCTCAGTTATTCTTGACAAATGACAAAATGAAAAAAATTCAGAGGCTATGCTGGCTGATAGCTGAGTGTACTGAATCCATTCTCCTAGCAGGACAGAGACAGGATTCCCACACAGAAAGGACAGATTAGAAAATGTACCGACAGGTCATTTGGTTCCAGTGAGTCAAGGGGCCCTGCCCCATTCAGACAGGTAAGAATGTCCCCAGAATATACCTATAACATGCAGAATTTGCTGCATTCATATTTAATAGTCTATTTGCAATCAGCTGAATTGTCAGAACACGCAACCAAGAGATTTGACACGTTTGGTAACATCAGTGCATCTGAACACAAAGCATCACAGAAATCACTGTGCATTTGAGTTGTATGTGAAAGTTCTATGCAGTTTGTCAGCTAGTTCCCCTTGGCTTATGGAAGAGGTAGGTCATTGGCCAAAAAAAAAAAAAAAAAAAAAAAAATACAGAAGAAAACACTCTCCATGAGACTAACAGGATAAAAGGTAATGTCAGTGATGTGGGTTCACATCATTTACACCAGTAACATCCACCAGGGATTTAACAGAACACCTGTCACAACAGCCTATCACTTTGCAGAAGAGGCACTCTGGATAAGGACAATCAGCATCCTCTCCTGAAGCAGCGCAGGGCTTGCTGAGAGACAAATACAACAGACCATCCTGAGTTCCTTGTTTTTCAACAAAATACAAATAGGATTTTCTAGAAGGCCATCCGTTTCACGGAGTGCCCTGCTAAACCAGGACTGGTTTGAGAACCTGATACAGTTCACCTTCTAGAACAGAGTGTCCTTTATAAAAACACTGCACACAGATATATAGTGTCCAAAATCACCTGTTGAGGGTAATTAAAAAACAATGACAGGCTGCACAGGACCACACCCATTATACAAATAAACAACAAAGTCCAAAGACATGGCAACCAAAAACCCAGATCACGTGTCCTTTCTACTGTTTAGATGATTAGTGTTGCTTATTTCATTCAAATGCAGGTCCTTTTGACTAAATTTTTTAATGAGGGTTCCAGGAACTAAGGCCACCAGAGCAATGGCCAAAAGCTTGAAGACCGTTTCCCAGGAGAAAAGAGCATCCAGAGAGGTCAGAGTTGACAGGATGGAGCCTGTCTGCACACAGATAAAATTGTATGGGACCAAACCTGGAAGAAAAGGGAAAGAGCCTGTTACTAGGGGCAGCAAAATAAAAAATAATAGCCCTTCACAAATGTCCCCAGGAATTCACAACCCAGACTCCAGATTTTTTTTTTTTTTTTTTTTTTGCCTAACTCCTGACCCGTAAGCACATTACCTCTTTCCCTCCCTCTCTACTCCTTCCCCTCCTTTCCTCACTTCCCATAAACAACTGCCTTGTTTAACAAACAGGCTTGTGATGTTTTACAAAAATACATATACTACAATAAGACAAAAAATGTTTAATAGGGAAAAGAAAAGTCAAGAATAAGTTAATCAGGAGATACAGTTAGTACAAAAAAGTATAAGGTTCACCAATTTGCTAGAAGTGCCCCAAACTGGGTTCTGAGCATCCAACAGCCTAAGTAATGAGAGGTACCAGTATTATGAGATTTATAGCATGCTAAGAGAAAAACAC